GCCCTGGAGTAAATTAACCAATATCTTGCAATGATACTGGGAAGACTGCAGTAAATTTGCCTACCGTAATCATACTATGTATATATATATATATGCACGTATATATATATATATATACTAATGTTGTCTAGCCAATAGTGATATCTTGTCAATAGTAGAAACATTTTTCCGCAACTCCATTTTTTCTCCAATACTAAAAGTCAATTAGCTCCATTTACTTTGAGTACTGCCAAAAGAGTCATGTTCAGACCTTGTCCAGAGGGCATGGCCAATAGTGGACCCAACATGGCAATAGTGGAAACTTTTTTCCCAACTCCAATTTTTTCTCCAATACTAAAAGTCAATTAGCTCCATTTACTTTTAGTATTGTCAAAAGAGTCAAGTAAAGCAAATCCTTTTCAAAGCAGCCTTCACTTTTGATTAGCAAAAGCTTAGATTCCAGAAATCTGATCCAATTACCAAACAGCTGATTTCCTTATAAAATCCTTATTAAAAAAAACAAGGAAACAGGTCCACAAAGGGTACCCCTTTGCAAGCCCCAGAATAGCAATAACAAACCTGCACCAGGCATGGCAATAGTGGAAACTTTTTTCCGCAACTCCAATTTTGTTGTCCTCCTTCTCCTTCTCCTTCTCCTTCTTCTCCTTCTTCTCCTCCTCCTCCTCGTCCTCCTCCTTCGCCTCCACCACCTCTGCCCCCACTTCCATGATCCCAGCTATAAGGTTCCAAAACTTTACTATTGGAATGCTGACCCCCCCCCTGAATTTTCCTAAAAAAAAATATTTAGGGGGGGTTACTATTATGCAGCAAACATTAGTATGGAAGACAACCCACTATTTGTAGATCATCAGATTTCATGGGTGCCTTCTACAGTACCATCATTGGAGAGTATATCACTGGCTTCACCACACGATCAACACGCAGCCCGGGTCGTCACAGATGCCTCAGCAGCGTCACAGCTGATTTAAAACTGTGGAGCACTGCGCTTGGAAAAAACTGGAGCCAAGAAGGAGGCAAGCCATGCGCGGTGAAAACCATCAAAGAAAAACATACATGATCAATCCTTTGATGGTTTTCTGAAAAATCAGATTAGTACATGAACAAATCATCAAAACAATCAGATTAGTACATGAAATAAATCCTCAAAACCAAGGGTGCGCGGAAGACATCTGACAATCACTCTGGAAATCTGAGGATCAAAAGACCAGGAAACGCTTGTAAGTGGATTTTGCCTATCTATTCTGGCTGTTCAGTAAATTCATCTGCCCAGTGGTTTTGATATTGAACTATGCTATCTAGGGTAGGGATCTGGCTCATCCCTGACTCCGAACAGCTCCCGAAACATCAATGCAAGGCCAGAATTCCCACAGCAACAAAATCAGGAGAAACTAATTTTGTTAGATCCCTGTACGTGATTGAATACTGGGACCGGATGAACTTGGCATTCTTCAGTTGAGCAGAGTTGAGGCTCACCATAGGTGAAAACTCTTTCACACAAAACTGGATACCCTCTGGTTATTTAAAATAGCTATTGAAAATGGCCATTGATTTTCCAATTAAAGATGGTGATTTTCCATAGTTATGTTAGTTTACCAGAGGGGAGTGACTGTGGATTCAATGTGATTTAATCATCCACACTTCACTATGATGAAATCCAATGGGAGTATCATCTGCCAATCAACCACCATCACCGCCTCTCTTCAGGTCTATGGTAGCCATCTGGCAGCCGGGATCGAAATCTGGGTCCATGTCGGAAAAATAGAATCATTCAACAACACACAACCGGGAGGAGTTTTGTCATTCATGTGTCTATCCATTTTAAGGGTAGTAACTAATTAATATGCAAGATTTGTTATGAATCCAGTAATAATCTGTAGATAGTCTGATATGCAAAAATCCGTTGGCTTGCCTATGGCTGTTTATGCGAGTCGTGAAAAATGGAGGCTCCCCACAGAATGGTGATTCAAATGCTAAGAGTCTTGAGTGAAATGACTGGCAAGTGGAGATCAATTTTAGGATGGTTCCCACTTGTTTGTATCCTAAGACTCCTACTAATTCAGACTCATTGCTGCCCAGAAATTGAAGGAATGAATACAGGAAATCCCGTCGTTGATTATACTTGATGGTAAAACATGGTAAAACAAAACCTGGATTCCTCAAAGTGTTGACAATTGGCATCATATATATACCCCTCTGGTTACTGAAAATTGCTATGGACAATGAACCATTTACTTCGATAATGTGTGATGATTTACGTCTATAAACAATTATAATCATCATTAATCATCTATGATGTTCATTGACTTTCCACTTCGCAAAGTGTTAAACTCACCGGTATAAACTCTCCGGTGTAAGTGTTGGAATCTCGGGATCACCTTGGAACTCCTTCCGAAGCACGTTCGGTAGCCTCAGGTCACGCCAAGCTGGTGATCGGGATGTTTAAAAAAAATGTGGATGCCAAGATAGGACACCATCGGAAAAATGTGAATTCAACCAAAACAAATGGGGATTTCATGAATTTGTGGTTGAGTTGTGAATATTTATGATAATTATCTAAGTTGACGCACTGTTCACTTGGTTAACGTTTGAGTTTTATGGTCGATAGAACAAACTAGTTGATGAGCTTATTATATAATCAAAAAATCACTGGGGGGGCAGCAATTTCTATGGTTGATAATTCCATGATCGATGATATTTCTGTGGTTGAGGATATTTCTATTAGAAGCCCATATGTTTTCAAACCATGAAACTTGGAATCACTAACCAGTGATTTGATTTGATGATATAATAGAACAAACAACATAAGCAATCAATCAAACAGTAACGAAGATATTGTGATGAGTTGGGTATGTTATGTTTGGGATTGTTTGGGTATGGGTCGAAATGATCAACTCCCTTCAAGCCCCAAAAACATATGTAGTGTTTAAGACTACCCCAGACAATAGGTGGGACTAGCTAAGTTGCTTCAAAAACTACGGCGTTTGGATTCCCGGTGGATATGAAAATCGAACTGGCCAAAAAAAACATTGTACCAAACATTGTAGCAAAAAACATTGGATATCTATGGATATATCCAAAATAACCATCGTTTTATACATGGGCACTTTGTATCATTCCTGGCCCTTGTCGTCCCATGTTTTTTTTAGGATTCCCAATAGGTGTAGCTACAGGACACAGCGAATGGGTGTCCAACTAACAAGAACAATCAGAATAAGAATATCAAGAAGAACAATAGTAATACGTAAGAATAACAGTAAGAACAGTAATAATAATCATTGTGTATATATATATAAACTATATATATAATTATATAATTATATAATTATTAAAGCATCTTAATTGTGACCATTTGGGGTATACGCCATATTCAAAAAACCACACACCTGCAACGGGCTGGCCCGTCAGCTGGGTGACTTCTGTTTTTGCAGCACCAAGTCTTCCTCCAGACGAGCCGGGAGTTTTCTTCCACTGCTAGGGATTCCTAGGGTAAACTAACATAGATGTGGAACATGGATGAAAATTGCCCATTTGCGGATGACTTACCGGAGTTAAAGTGGTGTTTTTTTCCATGTTTATGTGAGTTTTCCCCAGGGTATATCAATCAGTGTGGAATAAAATCAATACCAAGGCTGGTTTGTTTGAGATTCCCAGAATTTGGAGTCGAGATTTGTGTTGTGCCCCTTTTAAACAAGCAATCCAAAATTATTCTATTGGATTTGAATTCGTACAATCCTTGCCAAAAAAAAACGTTCAACTTTCAACTTCAAGTGATGGATACATATTATATTATTTTATACCTATTGATTTTCCACCATCAAAATTGTTAGTTAAGAAATGCTAAGAAAACAACACATTGATATCCTTTGACTAAGCATGCACCTACCTATCAATAAGTCTCTTCACAGACTTCCTCCCTATTCCACGGCTAAGTTGGATACTGTACCTTGCCAAATCTAAAGAAACAGAATAGAGAAAAACAAATATCAGTTCAAACAAGATAATGTTCATGAGTTGTTCAAGAATACTTTTTACACCAGTCTCCAATTTCCAGCAAAATTGAATCCTATATGTAATTTTCATTCTATTTCTCCATGTTTACAGCTCCCATAATACACAAGTTCCATAAGACATGGTCCATGAAGCTACCAGAATCACCAGTCGGTTTGTTTCCCGAAGATTGGTCCTTGGGATCCATCTTCTCTGCGGTGGCTAAGGTCAGGCTAAGGTATCACCACGCTGCCAAGAATTCGTTGAAGGTGAAGTTTCTGTCTGAATTTGGGGCGAAATGAGCCTCTGAGCTAAAAGTAACTGCAGTTAATTCATCTCCAAACCAGGTAGAACCCGGAAAGATACAACAAGTAGGTTGCATCAAGATGAAACATCACTTTGAACCGAAGGAATACATGATACATGATTCATTGGGTCTTTAAGAACACAATCCCAGCCCCTATTTCATGATGCCTTGAGCACAACGATTGCAGAGAGAAGACATAGCCAAAAAACTGGAATTCCCCCCGCTTCAGCCTTCTGGTCCTCCAAACTTCCGGTACAAATTGCAGCTGGATTCGGGAGGTTGACAATGGTTGACATACCCTCTGGTAATTTAACATAGCTATGGAAAATCACAATTTTTAATGAGTAAATCCCAAGGGTTTCCATTCATTCCATTCTTTGTAAACGATGCTGGCGCAAATCCACGGATCATTCTGAACCCTTTATGGGACCCATTCACTACAGTATACATCATCCCAATCCCGTTCAAATTACCACCAAATTACCAGGGAAGTGGACCATTTTTCATGGACCAAAAACCTGGTACCCTGCTCACATCAAGTCATCGTGAATGGATCGTCACAAAACTTAGGATTTCGGTTTTGACCCGTTCCCACGGGTCATATTTTTGGTGTTACCCCCCATATTCACTACCAAAAATATCCATTTGATATCCACTTCATATTTTTGGTGTTCAGTTCCCCTTCCCCCATTTCCCCCAACTTTTTGGTCTCATCGCTCGACCCATGGACCCGGCTGCGGGCCCAACGTCAGTTGCGCACCCCTGGCGCTCACAGCATCACGGCACAAGGACTGAAGGCTTTAAGATAATAACAATCCCATACAAATACAAATTATAGTAATTCACTAACCTGAAAATAGCTGAAATAAAACAAATAAGGCCATTTGGGGATGATTCCCCTTACTAATCATCATTCCGGTGACATCACAGTGAGGTCCTTATAATTCACCCAGAAACAATGGTTGATGAATCATTGTTTAACCCCAAAATAATGAGAAATCTGCTGTTAAACAGGGTAGCTCCAAACACCCCAGGTACAAGGTGGGTAAATTGCATAAATATAGAGGTAAAATTACTGATTGTGGCTATAATTTATCTATAGATTGGGGCAAGCCTGTTAAAGCCTGTGAAACATTGGTACCCAGCCAGCACAGCCCTGTGGGTGAGATGTTCACCGACATGTTGATCTGTTGATCTGCACACACTTGGAGATGCTGACCTAGCAATAAAAAAGGTTACCTGAGAAGAATGGATGATGAGTCACAAACCATGATTACTATATATTACTATGTAAGCCGTTTCTTTTTGGCATGTCAATCCAACTGGGAGTCTGATAGTTGGCCAAACTTACAGAACTGAAATGTGTTGTTTCTAAGAAACACACATCAATTCACAAAAACTTGCATGTCTCAAGACCTAAAGGTGACAGTGACAGAAAACCTCGGACCTGACATTCTTCAAGTGGGATGAATTACCTGACCCAAGAATAGGCAGGACGAGAGCCATGAGACATGCTATCATACTTGTAATGGGGACCATTTGCAGTTTGTTCATGACCAAAATCAAATATCCAATTTGCAACTGTGGTCAAAGTGGGCCAGTGGGTACAATACCTGCACATCCTAGTCATTTCCGAACATTCAACTACGGACCTATTTGTTACATACCACCGTAAAAATGACTCTATAGTCAAAATTGGAATATCCAAAAAGCAAGATGAATAAGTCCTCCAAAATGTGAAAAAATGATTTACAGAATTGGAATACCCGAAATGAAAATGATAAGTCACACTGGTTCCCAGGGCGGCTTCCCAATGGATTTCCTCTACAAACTCTCCCGTTTTGGGTGCCATATCTAATTATAGCCACATATAGCCACCATTTCAAGTGATGCTAACATCCCCACAACACGGGCCTATATACAGTATGTGCCATTCACAAACTTCGGCGAACTTTGGGGATTAGCTGTTGGCTATCTATCATATTTATATATCGTTTGAAAAATGATGTTCAACTTTTTGAATAATATGTATATATATATAGCTGTTTACTATTTAACTACTATTTGCTATCTGTATATATGTAGATATGGGGTAAGAATAAATTTACTATCAAGTTAAAATCTAATATCTATCAACATACATAACATTGGTTGTCCCATGATATGGGTACCGGTCAAAATCCGTCTGCCATGATGCTCAATTTTGCATGGTTTACCCAGTAATACTGTAATTCATCAAACCTCCATTAGACATTCCGATTTACACCACGTGTTTTGATGATACAATATGTTTCTCTATAACAAATCATGGATGATCATCCCACTTAGCAACTGGATAATTAAATAACCATAACAACATGTTACAACCCAGTTAAACATTCATCACCTGAGTCTCGGAGACTCACCCAGGGACCCTGGCGCCTGTAACACACCTGGTGGATGCCCCATCCCAGATCCACCAACTCATTCTGACACGAAAGCGGATCCTGCAAGCATATGTAGATGACATTTTTTGGCTTTTCATCACCAGGTACATATAAATGATTAAATCAATGTATACGGAATTGAAAAAATGGCTGTATGAAATGCAACAGTTTTTTTCTTTTATTTATTTTAAATAGGCTCTAGCTATTCACATAGCCACATAGTGACTAGTGTCACATGTGCCAGGAAGGACCATCTATAGCATATAATATATATATATATATATTTGTATATATATATATTATATAATTGTATATATATATATGAAATGATGTTACCCTCTGGTAATGACTAACAGTTTGCTATTGAAAATGGCCATTGAGTTCGTTGATTTACCTATCAAACATGGGGATTTTCCAGTTTGCTACGTTAGTTTACCAGAGGGTCAATTTCACAGCTTCGGGACATCTCGGGGATCACCCCAGGAAGCATTCAACGTACGACCCACGCGAAGCCGAAGGCCGGTCCTGAAAGACCAGCGTCCGCGAGCCAAGGCGAAGGTCCACCTTCGGAACCAGGTGGAGAAATGGGCTTTTGAAAGCCCCCACTTCTGGGAATTGGTGAATTAAAGATGAATCATGGAAATACTGGATGGTTCATATATGATTGATGGATGATTCATGGATGATTAATGATGAATGGATTACGAATGGATGATTAACGGAAGATTCTTTTTGAAGATGATTAATGAAAAGATTGAATGGGCTGTGAACTCTAGAAAGTCTTGATTAATGGAAAGTCTTCTGAAAGCAGCGTGACCCGTTTCTGTAGGTTCAATCTCTCAATCTCTCCATTGGTTTTGAGGGTTGCCCTCCCGTAGTCAAACATGACAATGGCTAAATGACATTGTATACCTGTTGAAACAATACAGCTTCAGGGCTTTCCACTACTACTTACCAGAATGTAGTATACCTTTTTGATCTTGCAACCCATCCCAACAATGCTATAGTCATTGCGGAACCACCATCCCATGAATAAACGTAAACATACACAAATAACTATACATAGATTTGAAACCATTATGAACAACTACCAGAACAGCATGATTATTTGGTTCTACATTATACTTAAATATACTTAGCTACTGGCTTGCTAATTAATAAACTGGTTGGTGGTTTCAACCCTCTGAAAATATGAGTTCGTCAGTTGGGATTATAAAATTCCCAATATATGGAAACATAAAATTCATGTTCCAAACCACCAACCAGTAAACCATTGTTGGTAGCCCAATCATCACCCAATAATCCAGCAGAAAACCACCGGGATGAAGCCGTGACTTCCCGTACGCCTTGCGAATTCCACGGTCATCAGAGGCCTCCTGGGTCGGTCACACTGAATTTCGGATCACCTGCTGGTCATGTTGGAGATTTCATGGCTACAAAATTTGAAGATTATTCATCCCCAAAATAACTATGACTGGTTGGTGGTTTCAACCATCTTGAATAATATTGGTCAATGGGAAGGATTATCCCGTATATTATGGAAAATATTTTTTTCCAAACCACCAATCAGGTAAGCTCGTATATCTAAAAACAATATCATATTATATCATATTTTGTGTTGGTAATTACATTATCAAAAGATGATACCAAATCAGGACTATCAATAGATTGTAGGTTTATGCTAAGGACATGATGACATGATGAAGCAGCATGCTTTGGAAATCCCATATTTTGCAGTTGAAAATCAGCGAGAAGTTCCCTTTGGCAACAGAAATTGCCAGTTGCCATTGGAAACTGAGCAGATTATATGGGCTTCTCTGAAAATAGAGGACCCCTAAATTTGATGCTTCAGCATCATGTTCATTCATTTTCCCCATGGAAATGGCCATTTGAGGGCATCCTCCATTGTCAGGCAATAACAATCATTACCAAACGCTCAAAACATACTGATGGTAATCCTGCTGAGGGTCACTAGCTGCCGAACCAGCCGGGTGGCAGTCATTCTGTATGCCCCAGAGATTCGACAGATCCCCACTTTGTCCCTTCTCGAACTGTTTGTAACATACACATTGATAGAGGTGATTTGCTCAGTTTATACTCTGCCCATGAAATATACTTTTGGTATCTTTTGGTGACGGTTTACTCCCCCCCGGTATCTCGCTGACATATCCACCTTTGGTAGTTTTTCGTAGCGTGCAACTGGCCAACTCGGGTAAGGTGGTGAGCACAATAATCAACCCTTGTCAGGGCCCCATGTTTTTTTAATATAATGACCCCCAAATGATAAGTCATTGCGTGGCGTAAATGGTATATGGTTTGTGGAATTGAGGTTGCCACCTTATGGGTCATGACATCCTAGCACCCTTGCACCCATGTTTTCTTGCTAAATTTGGCATGCTGGCTTGTGACAACAGCAATCTTGATGTCAAAACCCCGTGTTTGGTTTGTGGCAACTCAATTTTAGATGATTAAACCCTGATGTATATTCAACTCCCATGTTTCAGCGTTGAATCCCATTTTTCCCATGTTGTTTTTTCTATGTTTCCCATGTTTTCCCTATTTTTCCCATGTTTTTCCCATGTTTTTCCCATGTTTTCCCCATGATTTCCCTATGTTTCCCATGTTTTTTTTCTATTTTTCCCATGTTTTCCCTATTTTTCCCATGTTTTTCCCCACATTTCACGTGTCCCGGGCCCGATCTCCTCCATGGTCCTCCAGACCCGCACCCGCGCCGGGCCATGGCCATCCTGGTCGACATCCTCCACGGCCTGGGAACGTGATGAACATATAAGGAATAGATACGTGTGATATTATCCAAATATCCAATACTCATATAGTTGATATATATATATAATATATATTATATAATATATATATATATAATATACAATATAAATATATATCTATCCAAATTAACCTATACATATATATATATATACACACATATACATATATATATATATATGCAAATAACATCAACTATGTGATTTGGATTCTTCTGGATATTAACAACTGACGGGAGAGACGGATAGATATACAATGAATTTTTTTATTATTTTATGTTTTTAAAAAACAAAACATGGTATGTTTAACCATCATAATATCACATGCATATATCACATATATATATATATATATATTATATACACATCATACACATATAGTTAAATAGTTGATGTTCCTATATGTGATATTATCATGGTATGTATATATATACAATATGTGATGTGTCTATATGTTGGTTAACACCTCAATTAACTATAGATACAACATATCCGCCATAAACCCTCCACGTAGTTTACCTGGTCATCAACCAACTTAGTTAAACCTTAGTCCGCCGATTAATCATATTTTCCCCATAAAGATGGCTACTTGAGGGGCATATGCAATTTTTAGCCACACAAATATCAAGACGGTGGATCATCAAGAACCAATGGGTTTTCAAGAAGAACATTTGGATTTGTGTTAATATATCCCTTGGCTGTTGATTGATAGTACATTCAAGTTGATGGGAATAATGGGGCTATTAGTTTCTGCTCAACTGATTTGAACAACATGTCGGCATCTTGTTGTGGGTCAACACGTGGCTGGTCATGCCTAGTCTTGATTTACTCATTCTTGGAATTTGCACAGGACCTGTATACTCATACATAGCAGCCGCCAAAAAGATAGGTGTCCAAGTAATTCATCACTACTTGACTATGTTTGTTTTAATAATTTGCTTTTCTACCCTCCAATTTAGTTCGATGATTTTCCCAGCGAAAAATCAAGCTCCATTTTTTAATATAGGTTTGTCCATTCAGACCTCCATTGATGAGGATTTCCCATTGTTTCTATACACTTTCCCATGATTGCTACGTTTTGAGGCTGAAAAAAACCGGGAATTTGGCCGCGCCTTGTTCAAGTAGCCCAAAGGGATGTCACCTAGCCACACCTGCTCCCCAGTCAGTTGGGGTTATCCCAATATATCCCAGATGCTCCATGTATGGAATATGAATCCCTACAAAACTGGTTGATTCTTGGGGTAAATGTAGGTAAAAATTCCATACATGGAGCATATGGGTATGGAAAAAATAAATTACTCTACTTCGTGTGATCCCCACCATGACATGTCAGGACGTATATTTGGACATATATTTAGTATATTCTGACATCCTATCTGACATATATTCTGGCATATATTCTGGCATTCTATCTGGCATATATCCTGACATTCCACCTGGCATTCTATCTGGCAATCTATCTGGCATTCTATCTGACATATTTTCTGACATTTCATCTGACATATATTCTGGCATTCTACCTGTCATTTATTCTGACATATATTCTGGCATTCTATCTGACATATATTCTGGCATCTATTCTGGCATTCTATCTGGCATTATATCTGACATATATTTTGGCATTCTATCTGACATATATTCTGGCATATATGTTGGCATTCTATCTGGCATTATATCTGACATATATTCTGGCATTCTATCTGGCATATATTCTGGCATATATTCTGGCATTCTATCTGGCATTATATCTGACATATATTTTGGCATTCTATCTGATATATATTCTGGCATATATGTTGGCATTCTATCTGGCATTATATCTGGCATTCTATCTGACGTTCTATCTGGCAGTCTATCTGGCATTCTTTCTGGCATTCTTTCTGGCATTCTATCTGGCATTCTATCTGGCATCCTATCTGACATTCTATCTGGCATTCTATCTGGCACTCTTTCTGGCATTCTTTCTGGCATTCTATCTGGCATTCTATCTGGCATCCTATCTGACATTCTATCTGGCATTCTATCTGGCAGTCTATCTGACATTCCTACATGAGGTCCGGCAGGGAACACTTGGCGTGGATACTCGCAGTTGAGGTCCGGCAGGGAACACTGGGCGTGGGTGGTCGTGGTTGAGGTCCGGCAGGGAACACTGGGCGTGGATGGTCGTGGTTGAGGTCCGGCAGGGAACACTGGGCGGGGATGGTCGTGGTTGAGGTCCGGCAGGGAACACTGTGCGTGGATGGTCGTGGTTGAGGTCCGGCAGGGAACACTGGGCGTGGATGGTCGTGGTTGAGGTCCGGCAGAGAACACTGTGGATCGCGGGTCGCAGTTGAGCAAGGACGGCGAGGACGACGAGGACGACGAGGAGGACGAGGAGGAGGAGGAGAGGAGGACGAGGCAGGAGGAGGCGGAGGAGGAGGAGGAGAAGGAGGAGGAGAAGGAGGAGAAGGAGGAGGAGGAGGCAACTGACATAAAATCTAACAACCCTCACCTGGCAGGTGGGGAAAAACCATATTATTGGGATTAATAACCCCAACCAACCAGAGATTGGGAATATTTTACATGAGATATATCTCAAACCACCAACCAGATTACATTTTACATGCTACATTTGACATATTGACATGTTGCATGGGGGCATTTTACATTGCGTTGCCATAAAGCACAATAATCGTAATACTATGCAATGCAATTCAATACACGACAAGTGATACCATATGTACTTATACGTTACGCACATTTGCTTAAGATATCACTGATTCACTCAAACACACAAAGACATGTGGAATAAATTGTATATGAAAAGGTTGAAACCCATGTATACCCAAAAAGCTGAGCATCTTGGCTTCCCGGCTTCTCAGCTTGTTCCACGACATTTAAGTGTCTAGGGTACATGTCAACAGTTGAACTGTTTCTTTTCTCATCCACACTCTTGAAGCAAAATCCCAAAGATCTGAAGTAGAAAATTGCCATTTCACGTAAAAAATCAACAAACCCATTTTGCAGGGCATCATAAAATAGTTTACCCTGGGCATCCCGGGCTATGGCCAAAACCCAGTATTGTGTCAACTTCAAAACCCTGTGATTTATAAATGTTAGGTCGAAAATGGATTCCTAGTTGATGGATTCTGATCACAATGATCATCCACAATACAGTAATACAGATTATAGAAAATGCAGTATGGCATGGCATAGTATAAGCCTCTAGTATCAAGCCAAGCGATGATTTACAATAATCCGGATTCTGCAGATTCCCCATTCCGCAGAGGAATCAGCAATTTACGAGTACGGGTAATCTCTTACTCAATGGATTGGTTTAAGGGAAAATCTACAGCAAACTCAGCAAAACATAGATTTTCCCAGTAAATATGGGGCTTTCCGGTTAAAATTTTCCCTTCAACCAATCCATTGACTTACAGTTTTTGGAAAATCCGTTAAGGAAAGCCTCTCTCTTACAGGGCGGCCATGGCTTCATCATGCTTCATCCATGCCCGTGGCCTGCAGAAAGCGCAGATCCAGCCAGGCCTAGGAACGTGGCCTGGTGGATGTAAAAAATGTCTATGTTCATTGATTGGGTACAGCAGGCGCCAAGAAAAGGCGAGTTCAACATTATTCAACTACAATTCTTATGATGTTTTTGGTGCGCAAAGGAAGAGGACATAACGAGAATCACTGGGATAGCAAAGGCCATAGCCAGGAAACAAACCATCTGCTGACTGATCTGATCTGGTGGAAAAAGGTCTTTAGAAGACTTGCTTCACCACTGGCCAAATCTTGGCATGCTCAAGATGCTTAAAACTTGGAGACTCCCAAAGTCCCTCCGTTCATGCCATCCAGCTCTAAATGGATCCACAAGGGACAACTCAGGGCATCAAACTACCTATCCCGCATCATTCTTCGTGATATCAAAGTGGTTCTGTTGAGTGAAACACAATTTTGGCAGATAATATTGCCACCAGCTTCCTAGGTAAATTCGGCAAACTGTTGCTCCAGACTATGATTTATGGTTGATTGATGAATACACACTTAGGAAATTGTTAATATTGCAACCCACAGAGATATGATTCTATATCTTATGAATAAGGGCTATATTATATACAGTATTATATATGGGTTATTAACCGTTCACTGCCAATGATGAAACTGGCTAGGTTCCCCCACTGGCACCACCCCATCCTCCAACAATTGTACTTGCACCGCTCGACCCGTGCGCAGCTGTGTGCCTCAGCACCAAGGGCCTAGCTACCCTTTGGTAGTCAAACATGGGTCGGTGGGAAGTCACCTATACATGGGAAAATCATCTGTGTTTGGGGGATTTTCCAGCAAGCCATGCTTGATGACCGGAGGATATCCTTCCAAAAATCTATGCATTGGTTTGTTAGGGTAAAACATGTTTGAAACCATGGAGAAATTATGTATATTGATGTGTCATATTCATGATTGGTTGGTTGAGTTTCCTGTGAGGCATGGTAGATATTTTTTCAAAAAAAAAACATGTGAGATGGGATGAGGTGAAAGGTGATCCCAAAGAAGCAAAAACAAATGTGTTCTGTCTGTGTGGCTATCATTCACCTATAATCATTATAGATCTGCTTTAAAAATGGTGACTGTCACGGAGTCATCTGAAAGCAAGGAATGCAGCCTGTGTTTTGGGTCCTAGGTCAACTACAGTTTCGCCGATGCTGCCGATGCCAAAATCCTAGAGACATGGTATATTCCCATGTTCCATGGGTTGTCACATCGCTATCGCTGTAAAATCCACATGTTTTTGAGCAGCAACAGGCCATCATGTGTGCACATGGGTGTCAAGGCATGCCAAATTCCAGGGACTTTCGGGTATGATCGCTCTAGTTATACGTATCAGTGGTTGATTTAGGTCAACCAAATCTCCCTTGATATCCCGCAGTCATGTTTGGGGGTGCCACCCCTCGGTGGCACTTTTCAACAACCCACCAGTGGTGCGGCTCGATCTCAGGAGGGCGCCACCCACAACGCGGAACCAAATGAAGCCCTTCTCCGGTGGAATCTCTGAGTCTATGAACCTTTGCTCCTTGGGCGATGTTGCGTCCCAGCTTGTCCCCAAATTATGGCCCCAAGAAAATGTACCCAATCTCTGAGTCTATGTACCCACCACCAAAAGGGGCCCCAAGAAATGGATGATGACAGGAAAAAAAACAAATCTGCTTTTTGAGGTCCAAGAAAAGTCCTCATGGTGCCAGGGGTGGATTCCATTCACTGCGCCAAACAAATCGTATGTAATGTCGAAGCTCACCCAACAAAATGTTCAGCAGCCCGAATTCAAACATATTTTGGGATAGCATCTTGCAATAGAAGCCGACTTAATGTGGTAAACCAACAATACCCATCCAGAATACAGCTTCATGAAATTGGGTATACCATGGTATACCCCTATAATGGAATTATTTATGAACTGACCCCCAGTATCCCCAGATATCCCCAGTCATGGTTGGTGACAAAGGTGCTGCACACGGCGGCTGAAACACCGAGAGTCGTCCTTTTTTGGTCCCAACCAGTCCAAATCCCAGAGCTGACACCAGTATTTGCAGCCGCGTGAGTATGGCACACTGTTCGGTTCCTGGTGATGGGATAGGAGGATGATGGAGGATGGGATCGCCATATGCTTATCTGCTTTTTCATGCTCTTTCGATCTTTCGCAGGAACATGGGAAACCAAAGATTCTTTGAAAAAACGACAAGAATTTCAAGGGAAAACTGCATAGATAAGGTTGGTCAGGTCTTAAGAACTTAACTAACAGGAGTTGCAACTCCTCAACATACTGAAAGGAAGCAAAACTCGAGAACAAGGCTCCAGCACCATCCAGCCTGTGATACTCCGAGCATTTGCCAGAGTGCCTGACAAAATAATGCTTAGGAGAGCAATAGGAGAGTCAGCACCATTTCTTCAAGTCACGAACTGTCATCTTATTTTTGTCCGTGTGTTTGTGGTCCTTTCAGTAGTATATAAGTACACAGAAAAGTAACGAAAGTATATATGTCTTCGTCAACAACCTTCAAAGTAAGGGTCCTTTTGGTTTCACATTTGTTAATAGAGATGATTGTGAAAAAACCTTCATAGCCAGCCCGAGGACAAGAAATTATGTACCATTGTACAGTTTTTTTTGCATTTCTTTCTTTGGGGGTCCTAATAAGATCATTCAGTTTCATTCAATCCTTCTGCTTGGTCGCAGTTCAAACCCTTGTTTCCATGAAGCCTTCCGATGTCTGTGTCCTTCACCCCGATCTCCCCGATCTCTCTTAAACTTCAATGGATGGATTTAAGGTGAAATTGAAACCGGAAAGCCTGGGTTTTCCTTTAAACCAATTCTGGGACAAACAAAGTGAACAAGATGGACATGACTTGAAAACCCCTCTATATACACATGATCACATATTATTATACATATATATATATTATATATATTATATATATATATATTATATATATAAATACTATACACTATATTACAGGTACTGGTATATACACTTGTATTTAATATAGTTTTTATACTACATACATCTAAATATATCCGATGTTATATAACTCACCATAGATGGGCCAACCTGCCCCACCGATTGAAAGGACCTCTTCCTTGAACTCGCCCGTGCCAAACTGCAGCTCCACTCGTCCGCCCTCGTAGCAGCCCAAGCGTCGCACTCGGAATGGCCACCCTGGCGGACAAAAATTGTGAAAAACACGGGGAGTCTGTGGTTTTCATGGGGAAATCATGGGAACATATGGGGATTTTTTTAGGGAAATCCAAGCACTAAATGAAGGTTATAGCTGGGCAAAATCGCCGCACTAAGTGCAGTATTTTCCAGCAAGCCACGGAACTGATTACTGGAGGGTAGTTGTAAGGATCAACTATGGATTGAACATGATGATTTCTTCTTTAAGATATTATTACCAAGGAAGCGGCCCGCCAAAAAAAATAGAAATCATATGAACAAATACATGTCCTCAGTTCTTGCTGTTCTATGCTTTAAGGGGGTTGTTACTCTAGTTGCATCATCTAAGCAAGCCTGCATCCTCTTGAATGTGCATCCCACTTACCAAGTGGGGAAGAACCACATAAACCCCGTTGTAGACGGGAGATACCGAGATACCCCGATATCTCGAGCGTGTGAGCATGTTCCAAACTTTCAATCCATTGTACTGGTTGATGAATAGGGATGCCATGGGATTACCAGGAAGATGACAATCCCTAACTGGTTGGTGGTGCAATAACCATCTTGAAAAATATGAGTTCGTCAATGGGAAGGATTTCCCTATATATTATGGAAAAAAGAATTCATGTTTGAAACCACCAACCAGCTAATATACTGGCTAGTATGTTCCCCAAAATCATCAACCGACAGTGCTCTTGCAGCGACTGCTCATATGGCTTTATGATTGTTTATGGCATATGAACAACATATGGCATATGGTTTATTATACCATATGGCACGCGTGTTGTCAGCATCTTGGAATCATAATATACCCACTAGCACATTATATATCTATACAATTGAAACATTAAAACATATAGATAAATAAATATAATTATATATATATAATAGCTAAGTGTTCAACTATCTTGTCCTATATTTCACCTAATGAAACATAGCTTAACCACCACCGCGGCACCTCCCAGGCTCAGCAAGACGAAGCGATGCCCCTCACGCGCTGTGCGCCGCGAAGCAGGCGCCGCAGGCTCCAGGCTGAAGGTCACATGGGACACCAACTCACTGACTGGCATCACCTCAAAATGGTTTCTTTAGGTAAACTTCACAGGAAGATATGACATGATAATGTAAAATAATGTAAATTATCTTAGGTAAATTGAAATAATTGAAATGATATATATATATATATGTATATATATGTAGGTATACATATTGTGTCCCAACAAACACAATATGTATACATGTATGTGTATAAATATGTATATGTACTGATGGTTATGAGAAAATAATATGTTTTATACATTCATCAACATATATATGAATATATGCATATACATGATTATACATATACAATCATATACATGTACATATATAACAATAAGCGTAGTGGCTAAACCTTGGATGCTTGGATGCCATGCAGCCACAAATGTCAGTTTTGAAAAATGGTTAGATAAAACGTATATATCTTGTGTACAGGTGTGACCATGCCTGGATCAAAATTCATCCGGGATGGACATTGACCAGGGATTGACATGAACTAGAGTGAGTTTGCTGAGCTGTTAATACAACAGTAAGAGAAAAACAATACGTTAGGGAACCATAAAGCTACAACCCACTACATTGTTAGGTTGGCTATATATATGTATATATCTATACATATATATATATACATATATATATATACATATATATATATACATATATACATATATACTGTGTATATATATATATATATATGCTCCAATGGTTTTAGAATGACTAGGGTAGACTAGAGGCAGATAATGGGTTCAACCTATATCCATGTTAATATGACAATGTAACCAATCAATCTAAGAAAAACAAACTGCGAATTCCTTAGCTGTTAGCCTTTTCCGAGGCACCCAATCCGACACATCCTCCGCATTGAGGCCGAGGCTTACGGCGCCGTTCCTGAACAGCCAGGCGTTTAGGTCTATGGGATGCGGCCAGGATGGCCATTTCTTCTGGTTTTTTATGGGAAAACTATGGACGATTGGAAAAATGATGACAATCAGAATATCGGGTCTTGGAGATGGCCATGAGATGGCCATGTTCGAATGGTGCCTTTTAAAATGGGAAACATCTGCGTCTGAAAAATGGGTAGAAAAACCCACAAAGTTGCTTTCACAAAATGTGAAAAATAACTACAGTATTTATTATAAATAAAAATTGGGCTTTGAGGTACCCCATTTTCAGTCAAACCCATTTGGAACTGGAAAAGCAATAAAGAATGGTGGGACACACTATGCTTAAACAGGCTGAAATCATCGTAAATATAGAGCTAGATTGCTTGTCAAAGACATTCAAATACACAATGAAATCGTGCTTAAATCAGTAGACTGTAGACTCGATAAACCGTAGATATATGGTACATAGACTCAGTATATCATAGTATCATGAGATTCTAAAGAGGGGGTAGCCCCCCAAGAAATCCTTATTTTCCATACCATTGGCTCGGAACAAAATAACCCCAAAATAAGGTGTCCAGGGTTTATTTCTCGGACCTGTAGGTCATGATGATCTAAACACCAAAATAAGGTATCCCATGCTTATTTCTAGAACTTGTGTTGCGAGGATGGAAACCCCAAATATCACATAATTAAAAATGAACCAAGGCTTATTTCTGGGACCTGTGAAACTTTGATGATTTAAACACAAAAGAAGGCGTAATTTTCTGGAGAAAAGTGGTGGTACCACCAAAAACTGGCATTTTAAATATCTGGCATTACACAATATCTGACATGTGATTCTGAGCAAACTGCTAGAAAGATTAGTGGCAATTATCAATGGCAACTTAAATTTTGAAAACACAAATTCAAGCCAAGCAATCAGAGCATTTTTGGGATGAACTGAACAAACAAATCAAAGTAAGCAGAAATTCAAGCAAACTTGCACGTTTCCAAAATTAACCCAATCAAGCGATCAAATTCCTTGCCAAACCGCAGTTCTCCAAAATACATTCAAAAAGAAATCAACATGAACTAATACCTTGCAAAACTACATTTTTTCCAAAATAATGTCAAAACCACTGTTTCCAAAATAATGTCAAAATGAGGTCAAATAAATACCTTGCAAAACCCAACCTTTTCCAACATAATGGCAAAATACGGTTCTAATAAAGTCAAAATAAAGCCACAATAAGGTCCAATACCTTGCAAAACTACAATTTTCCAAAATAATGTCAAAATAAGGTTCAAATAAAGCAAAACTAATGTCAGAATAAGGTCAAATACCGTGCAAAACTCAACTTTTTCCAAAATAAGGCTAAAGTAATGTCAAAATAAGGTCAGATACCTTGCAAAACTCTTTTTTTTCCACAATAAGGTCTGAATAAGGTCAGAATAAGGCCAAATACCTTTCAAGACTCAACCTTTTCCCAAATAAGTCAAATATTTTTACTTAATGACATACATGTCATGGCCCGACATGATACACCAGTTTTCCGAATTCACTACACGCGTATATCTCCAAAAAAAAGGCCAAACCAGGCTGTTTTTAGCAATTTTCCTTATTTTGGCCTTATTTTTTCATATTCTTATGAAGATTTATGAAGGCCTTAATAAGGCCTTAATAAGCCCTTAATAGACCTTTACCTATATTCCCTGGGGGCTACCAGCAGGGCTACCCCCCTATTTTTCAATACACAAAATAATTTTTATTTGACCTCCAAATACCTTTCAAACTAATGGTGAAGGTACTAGAAATGATGGGGTTAAAACATCATATGGAAAAAATGGAAACATGATGACAGAAAAGCAACATATCTGAGGGTGTTGGAGATGGTGGTTTCTACAAGTACGAATCATCAGTGGGTTATATCTGGCTATGTCAGATTTATCCCTAGTCTCAACTTAGATACGCAGGGTGAACCGCCTACGAATAAGTGGGGTGAACGAACGATTGACATACTTACCGAATCGGGTGAACCTGAAAGTATGTGTGTATAATATTTATATATATATATATATACACACACATATTTACAAATTTATATTATATACAGAAAAGTGAGTGAGTGCGTTTCTCTGAAAATAGGGCACCGCCCCTGCAGTGTGTAATTTTGGGGCGACGTTTTGGCAATTTGTTACATTTGTTACATAGCTATGGAAGCCCGGAAGCTCATAGAAATAGATGATTTACACATTAAAAAAATGATGTTTTCCCAAAACCATGGTGATTCTCCAACGCCATCCACCTCAATCGGGATGTCGACTTAGATGCGAGTGCCAAGTAATATGTGGTTCATGCCGGCTAGTTTTCGCGACTACCCTGTTGTGTGATAAACCAGATGTAGTATATTATATATATATATATATGATAGTGTGTATGTATATATATATATATATTATACTTATATTATATTATATATATTGCAATATATATATATATATATAATATACGTATTATATATATATATATTTATTTATTTATGTATTTATATCCGCCGACCCCGGCCAAGGCAGGGGCGGCGCCTGGGACCACCGCAGGTGTGGAACTTCTCCTTCTTCGCTTTCCAAGGTCAAACCCATCTCGCAGCCAGGAAGCTGCCCCAAGGCCACATCGCGTAAACATTTTCCTGGCATGCTTCGTCCTCCATTAAGACTTCCAGGCATTTGGACATGAAAATTACATGCTTTGGGCAAGTAAGTTTAAATTTTACTCCGGAAGGTTTTGTCTGAAGGTTTTGTCTTTCAAGCCCAAAGCAGCCGTTCCCGCATTCCTGTAGTAGCAGTTCAAATCCTTGACCACGCTTACAACTTAAAACGCTTAAAACCCTTAAAACGGTGACTTGGCATGAACAGGCACCCCAAGGCCACACATCAATGGCTTCTTATGGGCCGCTTAAACAATCCCTTGGCATGCTTCATCCTGCAGCCAACAGGCACCCCAAGGCCACACATCAATGGCTTCTTATGGGCGTCCAAGCCTGCCGTTTGCCAGCCCTTAAACCCTTAAAACCCTCCAAACCCTCCAAACGCTCCAAACCCTCCAAACCCTTAAAAACCTTAAAACCCTTCAACCGCTGACTTGGCATGCTTCATCCTCTAGCCAACAGGCACCCCGAGGCCACACATCAATGGCTTCTTCGGGGCCGCTTAAATAATCCCTTGGCATGCTTCATCCTGCAGCCAACAGGCACCCCAAGGCCACACATCAATGGCTTCTTCTGGGCCGCTTAAACAATCCCTTGGCCCATCTCGCAGCCAGCAAGCTGCCCCAAGGCCACATCGCGTAAACATTTTCCTGGCATGCTTCGTCCTCCTTTAAGACTTCCAGGCATTTGGACATGAAAATTACATGCTTTGGGCAAGTACGTTTTCCTCCGGAAAGGTTTTGTCTGAAGGTTTTGTCTTTCAAGGCTCCTTCTTCGCTTTCCAAGGTCAAACCCATCTCGCAGCCAGCCAGCCGGCGCAAGGCCACATCGCGTAAACATTTTCCTGGCATGCTTCGTCCTCCAGTTTAGACTTCCAGGCATTTGGACATGAAAATTACATGCTTTGGGCAAGTAAGTTTTACTCCGGAAGGTTTTGTCTGAAGGTTTTGTCTTTCAAGCCCAAAGCAGCCGTTCCCGCATTCCTGTAGTAGCAGTTCAAATCATTGACCACGCTTACAACTTAAAACGCTTAAAACCCTTAAAACGGTGACTTGGCATGAACAGGCACCCCAAGGCCACACATCAATGGCTTCTTATGGGCCGCTTCAACAATCCCTTGGCATGCTTCATCCTGCAGCCAACAGGCAAACCAAGGCCACACATCAATGGCTTCTTATGGGCGTCCAAGCCTGCCGTTTGCCAGCCCTTAAACCCTTAAAACCCTCCAAACGCTCCAAACCCTTAAAAACCTTAAAACGCTGACTTGGCATGCTTCATCCTGCAGCCAACAGCCACCCCGAGGCCACACATCAATGGCTTCTTCTGGGCCGCTTAAACAATCCCTTGGCATGCTTCATCGTGCAGCGAACAGGCACCCCAAGGCCACACATCAATGGCTTCTTCTGGGCGTCCAAGCCTGCCGTTTGCCAGCCCTTAAACCCTTAAAACCCTCCAAACCCTCCAAACGCTCCAAACCCTCCAAACCCTTAAAAACCTTAAAACGCTGACTTGGCATGCTTCATCCTGCAGCCAACAGCCACCCCGAGGCCACACATCAATGGCTTCTTCTGGGCCGCTTAAACAATCCCTTGGCATGCTGCATCCTGCAGCCAACAGGCACCCCAAGGCCACACATCAATGGCTTCTTATGGGCGTCCAAGCCTGCCGTTTGCCAGCCCTTAAACCCTTAAAACCCTCCAAACGCTCCAAACCCTCCAAACCCTTAAAAACCTTAAAACGCTGACTTGGCATGCTTCATCCTGCAGCCATCTTCTGGGCCGCTTAAACAATCCCTTGGCATGCTTCATCCTGCAGCGAACAGGCACCCCAAGGCCACACATCAATGGCTTCTTATGGGCGTCCAAGCCTGCCGTTTGCCAGCCCTTAAACCCTTAAAACCCTCCAAACGCTCCAAACCCTCCAAACCCTTAAAAACCTTAAAACGCTGACTTGGCATGCTTCATCCTGCAGCCAACAACCACCCCGAGGCCACACATCAATGGCTTCTTCTGGGCCGCTTAAACAATCCCTTGGCATGCTTCATCCTGCAGCGAACAGGCACCCCAAGGCCACACATCAATGGCTTCTTATGGGCGTCCAAGCCTGCCGTTTGCCAGCCCTTCAACCCTTAAAACCCTCCAAACCCTTAAAAACCTTAAAACCCTTCAAACGCTGACTTGGCATGAACAGGCACCCCAAGCCCACACATCAATGGCTTCTTATGGGCCGCTTAAACAATCCCTTGGCATGCTTCATCCTGCAGACAACAGGCACCCCAAGGCCACACATCAATGGCTTCTTATGGGCGTCCAAGCCTGCCGTTTGCCAGCCCTTAAACCCTTAAAACTCTCCAAACCCTCCAAACCCTTAAAAACCTTAAAACGCTGACTTGGCATGAACAGGCACCCCAAGGCCACACATCAATGGCTTCTTATGGGCCGCTTAAACAATCCCTTGGCATGTTTCATCCTGCAGCCAACAGGCACCCCAAGGCCACACATCAATGGCTTCTTATGGGCATCCAAGCCTGCCGTTTGCCAGCCCTTAAACCCTTAAAACCCTCCAAACGCTCCAAACCCTCCAAACCCTTAAAAACCTTAAAACCCTTAAAACGCTGACTTGGCATGCTTCATCCTGCAGTCAACAGCCACCCCGAGGGCACACATCAATGGCTTCTTATGGGCCGCTTAAACAATCCCTTGGCATGCTTCATCCTGCAGCCAACCGGCACCCCAAGGCCACACATCAATGGCTTCTTATGGGCGTCCAAGCCTGCCGTTTGCCAGCCCTTCAACCCTTAAAACTCTCCAAACCCTCAAACCCTCCAAACCCTTGAAAACCTTAAAACCCTTAAAACGCTGACTTCGCATGCTTCATCCTGCAGCCAACAGCCACCCCGAGGCCACACATCAATGGCTTCTTATGGGCCGCTTAAACAATCCCTTGGCATGCTTCATCCTGCAGCCACCAGGCACAACCGTGGCTGGCGCAATGTCTTGCTTGCAATGGTGACCAAGTCTGTAACCACTGCTGGAATTGCCCCATTCCCCGGGGAAGCATCAGCAAAGCAGTACAGCGGGTAGCTGCAACGCAGGCGAAAGTCGCGAGGACGGCAGCGGAAGAAAAAGCGGCACGCGCCCTTGCCGATGTCTGGGATGCCATCGCGAAACGAAAACGCAACAGAGAAAAGGAGAGCTCCCAAATGAAGGACGCAGAGCCGAAGGCAAAACATCCCAAACAAGAGAACCGAACAGAAACGAGCAAAGACGGGCCTGAAGATGTACGTGGCCAACGGGGAGACAGCGACGGAAGGCAGAGGGCGGTGCGGGCGACGACTGATGTCGCGGCTGCCAGCGTGGAACGAAAAAGGAAAACAGAACAGGACACCGCCCAAATGCTTGGCCTAATACTATCTCTCCATCTATCTCTCCATCTATCTCTCCATCTACTTATCTGTCTATCCAACTGTCTATCTATCTGTCTATCTCTCTCTCTCTCTCTCTCTCTATCTCTCTACCTATCTATCCATCCATCCATCCATCCATCCATCCATCCATCTATCTCTCTCTCTCTCCCTCTCTCTGCAGGACCCCCCAAATAGGGGGGGTCGGCGGCACCCGGGCGCTAGCCCATTCTATAAAGTATAGTCTACAATGACACAATTCAGATACCGATACTTATTCATGTTGGCACCCGGTTTGTGTGATGGGACCCTATTGTGGAAAGTTTTTGCTTCCTAATTGAGTATCTTGGTGTTTGTGGGGGGGCCTCTATTGTGAAAAGTTTTATTTCAGTTTTTTTTCCCAATGTTTTTCGTTTTTTTCACCATTGTTTTTCATTTGTTTATTTTGTTCCCCATAGCTCTTTTAGTTTGTTCATTATTGTTTTTTCATGTTTTTCCTTTTTTTCATTTTTTTTCTCAGATCAATTTTTGCATTTTTTCCAAATAATTAGATGCCTTATTAAACCCTTATTAAAAAACAGCATCCAAACAATTTTTCAAGGAGGTACCTCATGAGTGGCTCAGATCCTCAATAATATAATTGTTTGGATGGTACTCTATTGCGCACAACAACTTTTGGGAATGAAAAAAAGAAACAAAACCCTTTCTCCACCTTTCTTTGGGTAAAGTGGTCCCTTTGCTTTAGAACGCCATATCCATGTCAAAGCATTGAAATGCAAGGTTTTCCAAATAATTAGATGCCTTATTAAAACCTTATTTAAAAACAGCATCCAAACAATTTTTCAAGGTGGTACCTCGTGAGTGGCTCAGATACTCAATAATATAATTGTTTGGATGGTACCCTATTGTGCACACCAGCTTTTGGGAATGAAAAAACAAAAACCATTTCTACACATTTCTTGAAAATTGATTTCAATTGAAAATCAATTGAAAGTAAATTGACATCAATTGAAAGTAAATTGATTTCAATTGAAAATCAATTGAAAGTAAATTGACATCAATTGAAAGTAAATTGTTTTCAATTGAAAATCAATTGAAAGTAATTTGAAATCAATTGAAAGTAAATTGATTTCAATTGAAAATCAATTGAAAGTAATTTGAAATCAATTGAAAGTAAATTGATTTCAATTGAAAATCAATTGAAAGTAAATTGAAATCAATTGAAAGTAATTTGATTCAATTGAAATCCTTACTTAAGTTGACTATCCTAAAAATTGTTGGGGGGGCGCACAAAAAATTGCGAGTTATTCAGTATACTCAAATTGTTTGAGGGGGGGCCCTTCACTAATCAGTAGCCAACATTATATATATGTGTCTAGGATACACATCCAAGATTATCCAAGTATCTACGTGCACACACTGGTACAAGTGTCCTGCTGTTGTGGGGCACTGGAGCCGGTTATGGGACAACATTCTACGATTTGGTGAATCATTCGTGTACCAAGAGGATATGGTTGGGAACTTACTCAGTGGGATTGTCATCCAAGTAGGTAATTGTGATATTGGTTGGTGTTTAAGCCGCCAATTCAAAAGGGAACAAAGGGAACCGTTCCCCTCAAATGGCAAAACACAGTTGGTTGAACGATCTTCCGATGTATTGCAACAAACTAGCCCATGTTCAACATGCTAAATCCAATCATAAATCATCTCCAATAAGTCACTAGACATGGGAGGTCAATCAAAGTTGGAGGTTTCAGTGCGTTGGGTTTGCCAATTTGCCTCATGTCCATTCACCAAGGTTGACAGTGGCCAAGCTTCTCACATGCCCGTTGGGACTGGCTTTCATAGGGCGTATGCTGCCCGCGCTTGGGAATGAAGTCCTGAAAATGCCGAGGTTCGCCAAAAATGCTGGATTGAGCCCACAAAAATGTGGAAACAAGCAAACCTGGGGATCGAATCACAAAATAGTGGGGTCTAAGCAGTAAAACTCGAGAAATGTGAGATAGAAGCAACATGAAAATTTTGGGAACAAACGCAGGTGAGATTCATGGAGAAGATGCAGAGATTTCATGTAGACCACTGAAATTGGGATGTCAACCAATCATGGATCGGGATATTTACGTATATTTTATTTACCAACACAATATTACCAAAAACATATGCGGAACGTACCTCTCTACTAATACAATATAACGTAATATATATATATATTTATATATATATATACATACGTATTTGTATATATTTAATTATATTTATATATCTATCCTATGCATCCATTCTCAATAGGCTTTCAAGCAGCCAAGGCCTGGTCTCAAATCTCCGTTCTGAACCGTCCTGCAAGGGGAAGTGCCACTGGTTCTCCCGCACTCCATCGTATTGCAGGACTTCCAAACGAAGCGTCACCGGCTCCTCCGCTGATCCGACGACATTGGTTGTTGCATTTGGAGAGATTTTCCAGGTACATTTTGGTACCACAAATGGGATGATAAAGCCAATAATTAATAAATAATCCCCACCATCAGCATCATTATCATTTTTGTGGGTATTAAGATGTATTAAGTATCCCGGTAGGTTTCTGGCATATGTCCCACACTATACTAACTTGATACATGTTGAATGATTTTGATACCTTGTTTTGGTGGATCCTAACCCCACTTCCCAGCCCAGCCACCCAGTCACTGTGCATCCTGCGGCATCCGTCCATGCTGGCATAGATCCTCCCGGGCTGCCGCGAAGGTCACATACCTCGGCACCGCTGAAGGCTGGGGGCGAAGATGATGGGGATGTTTCACCCGTTTCCACCAGAGGAATTTAGGGGGTTAACGGGTTAACCAACAAAAATTGGGATTCACCAACATTTTTTGGATAGTTTAACCAACAAAAACTGCAATCGACCAAGAACATTTGGGGTTTAACGGTTTAACTGATAAAATATGGGCGCTTAAACAACGAATTTTAGGAAATTGCCAGCACATGCTGGTGGCTTTACGCTTTTGCCAATAAGACTTGAATGCTTAACCCAACAAAAATTGGACATGACCAACAATCTTAGGGGGTTCACCAACACAATGAACAAGGGTTTGACCAACTGACCAACAAACCGCGGAAATAAAGAAAATAAATATTGAGGATTCAACCAGTAAAAAATGGTGTTTGACGAAGAAAATATGGTGGGTAATCAACACATGGTGGAGAATGATTACAAAATAAAGAGTTCTTCTACGGTCAAGATTTGATGACAATTTAGTGATGTTGCCCGAATCAACGGGGAGTTCGAAAAAAACATAGACTTCAACTGACTGTTTTTAGCCAGCAAACATGGTCTAATTAGGAACAAATACCGTTGTGAAAATGAGCTTTCAATACTCTGGTGAGTGGCTTCAACCGAAGAAAACCTCGGGATCATCCCAGATGGTAAAGGGACCGGACATGACGGAAATGACCATGACCTTGACACCAGTATCATGCTGAATCCAATCTCAGCACCATTCATCATTCATCTACCCTCTGGAAATGACTAACATAGCTATTGAAAATGGCCCAGTCGAAATAGTGGATGTTCATGGATTTTCCCATTAAACATGGTGATTTTCCATGGTTTTTCCCCACCTGCCAGGTGAGGGTTGTTAGCTTTTATGTCAGTTGCCTCCTCCTGCCTCCTGCCTCCTGCCTCCTGCCTCGTCCTCCTCCTCCTCCTCCTGCCTCCTGCCTCCTGCCTCCTGCCTCGTCCTCCTCCTCCTCCTCCTCTCCTCCTCGTCCTCCTCGTCCTCCTTGTCATCCTTGTCGTCCTTGTCGTCCTCGTCGTCCTCGTCGTCCTCGTCCAACTGCGACCCGCGATCCACAGTGTTCTCTGTCGGACCTCAAACACGACCATCCACGCCCAGTGTGCCCTGCCGGACCTCAACCACGACCATCCACGCTCAGTGTTCCCTGCCGGACCTCAACCACGACCATCCCCGCCCAGTGTTCCCTGCCGGACCTCAACCACGACCATCCCCGCCCAGTGTTCCCTGCCGGACCTCAACCACGACCATCCACGCCCAGTGTTCCCTGCCGGACCTCAACCGCCAGTATCCACGCCAAGTGTGCCCTGCCGGACCTCATGAGATATGCCAGATAGAATGCCAGAAGATATGCCAGATGGAATGTCAGATAGAATGCCAGAAGATATGCCAGATAAAATGCTATGAGATATGCCAGATAGAATGCCAGAAGGTATGCCAGATAAAATGTCAGATAGAATGACACAAGATATGCCAGATAGAATCCCAGAAGATTTGCCAGATAACATGCCAGAAGATATGCCAGATAGAATGCCAGAAGATATGCCAGAAGATATACCAGAAGATATGCCAGATAGAATCCCAGAAGATTTGCCAGATAATATGCCAGAAGATATGCCAGATAGAATGCCAGAAGATATGCCAGAAGATATGCCAGATAGAATCCCAGAAGATTTGCCAGATAATATGCCAGAATATATGCCAGAAGATATGCCAGATAGAATGCCAGAAGATATGCCAGAAGATATGCCAGAAGATATACCAGAAGATATGCCAGATAGAATGCCAGAAGATATGTTAGAATATATGCCAGAAGATATGCCAGATAGAATGCCAGAAGATATGTCAGATAGAATGCCAGAAGATATGCCAGATAGAATGCCAGAAGATTTGCCAGATAGAATGCCAGAAAATATGTCAGATAGAATGCCAGAAGATTTGCCAGTAAGAAAATGTAAAAATGTCACGGTGGGGATCACACGAAGTAAAGTAATTTGTATGTTTACCCGGCTCGGGTACCCTAATATCTACCCATATCGGAGGGCGCCCCAGCGATCCGAGTCTCTGCTCTGCCAATGGCCCCGGGCCATTCACGCGCTGCAGGGCACGGTCGAAGTCCTGTTTTCACGGCCCTTTTGGGTCATCCCCAGCAGAATCTCCTTGACCATGGCATCTATGCAGCTTTCTCTTTTTAATTTCAACATGATGATAAACCATATATTTATATTATATATATATATTAAGTATATGTTAAGTATATGTGTGATTTATGATTTGGGGGTTCGATATTTCAGACAATCACTGTTAAAGACCGTGATTGGTTCACTCAGCTAACATCAAGTTGGGAGAGTTGCGAAGCAGCTTTGGAGTTGACCGAGAAGGATGATATGAGGGTCTGACCAACAACTCTGGTACTGAACCAGACAAATCAATCATTGTATTGGGATGTAACAACTGAAAACTAATCATTGTTAGTTCCAACAACTGGGCATCATTGACAATCCTTGTTAGGGCATCATTGACAATCCTTGTTAATTCCAAGGAAAAACAAATGGAACACATCATTGACAACAACCAACAGAAAATGGTCGTAGGGAGTTTCTATTCTCCAGTTGGAGCTGCCATTGGAGGACCCAGGTACACAGCCAGTTGGTATGTTCTCTAACTTTCACAGCTACCTGTATAGGTCAAAGATGGTCAAAGTATGTAATTGACTGTGCATGATGTCCGTTTCTGCAACACAGTAATGGCAAATTCCACGTTTGATTTCGATGTTTGCATGGGAATGGACCTTGTATCCTTGTACTGTACTTCTTTTCCATGTTGAATTTCTGGAGGATATCCATGTTAAATTCCAGTTTGTGGTCCGCAAGCCAATTCCCAGGCTGTTCTCGAATCTGGTATCAGCTGCTATCCAACAGTCCAAGGGATTCAGCTAAAATCCCAGGCGTTGGTTTCAACCAGCAGTGTTTAAAGTTGCAAAGGTGTTTTTTTTGTGCACTACTACCATGATTCCATTGAAATTACGGCTCTGATTTGCTTTGATGTTAAAGCCAGGGGTTTCCTGAAACCAGGATGTTCCATTGATCCAATTCTAGGACCCAAACCCGCGCCCTTTCCTCAATAGCCGAAATGGTAATCAGCTCCATGGCAGTGGAACATCCCCCAAACATGGAAGTTTAAGGTTTATATATAAAAATGTTATATAAATGTGATCATGATCTATAAATCGTATAAATGGGGGATTTTCCAGCAAGCCACGGAACTGATTGCCGCTGGGTAAGCACTGTAAGCACCGAATGTTTTTAATTTTTTTCCGGCCTCATCCTCTCCCAGAAGCTCGTTGAGACAGACCAAATCCGGAAAGTTGGGCCAAAACAAGGAGTTGTACCACAAGGGCCCTGCAAAGCATCCTTGGCTTGAGGTCGCAGCCGCAGCAGTCCATCAAAATGTGAGAAACATAGGGGAAAACTGGGAAAACCATGGTGAAGATATTCGAAAGTATGATGAGATTGTTGAAAAAACAAAGGGGTGGCAACTTCTCAAGGGAGTTTTCTTGGAACTGCCCAGATTGGGGGTAGTCAGGATTGGAAAACCGGCAAGAATCATGAATTATTGTCATGACATTTGGAATCAAAGAGAAAATTCCACTTGTCAATACAAAGGAAGATCCAATACCATGTGAGCCAGTTCAGAGCTGTTTACACCTTGGTCATCTGGTCAATGATCAAAACCAACATCAGGATTTCTCAACACACTACCCTTCGGAACTTCACATGGAAACGAAACGTCGTCAGTTTTATGAAAAAATCATGCGCAAAACAGATTGTTCTATCCCATATGCTCCAGGCATGGAAAAATTATATTTACCTACATTTGGGAGATGTTTGGTTGTTGATAAACAAAATCCATACAAAGCATATGGGTGGCGGTATGGGAATTCTCCCCTACGGCGCAAAGCACAAATCGTTCCCGCCCTAAGGAGAAGATGCATGTGGGACTCAGCGCGGCTGGATATATGATATATTGGAAAGCTTTACTGTGAGGCTATGCCATTCACTTCATATCAACCTTGGCTCAATCCGATAATGTCCTTCTATCCAAAACATTCCAAAACGTTGGTGTTAAATCTCATGTCTCATAAGGCACCATCAGGTCTCTAAATATCGTTTGTCCCGATAGAGTTCGACAAAATCGAAAAGAACAATTCATCACTTGTTGTGTTACATCCCATAGAATCCAAATATGTTACTGGTGTAACTCCCATCATATCTAACAATTCTCATCATTTCACTGGTTCTATCCCTTCTCCATTTTCCCCCATGGGATTTTCACCATTTTCCATTCTCTGGCCGTTCCGAACATCAAGCTACCAAGTCTCATCCATATACCAGGGATTTTCCATGCCATTTTCCATAGGGCTCCCCATGGAATTCCCCCATTCCCATGGAAAATCTCCAAGCGACCCGCAGCTCCAAGGCTTGCGGCCACCTCCTGGTGTCCTGGCCTCAGGTCTTCGCAAAGGAGGTAAGGGCCCGACTCCTGGCAGTTCATGGGGAGAAACTGTAGGATTTTTCCATGTATATATATATATTATATATATATGCTATTATATAATCTATATATATATATATTTTTTTTACATTATATTATATATATATATTTATATTATATTATATTATATTCTATTATATTATATTTTATTATAAATTAAATTATATTATATTATATTATACTATATTATATTATATTATAATATATTATAATATATTAAATTATATTATATTAAATTAAATTATATTATAATATATTTTATTATATATTATAATATATTTTATTATATATTAAAAAAAAATAAATTATATTATATTAAATTAAATTAAGTTATATATTATTTAATATTATATTATATTATAATATATTATAATATATTAAATTAAATTATATTAAATTAAATTATATTATATTATATTTTCTGATATATTATATTATAGTAAATATATTATAATATATTTAATTATAAAATAATATATTAAATTAAATTAAATTATATTATACTATATTTAATTATATATTATATAATATTAAATTATATTATATTAAATTATATTATATTTTATTTTATTACTTTATATTATATTATATATTATATTATATTTCATGATATTAAATTGTATTATATTATATTAAAATATTATGTTAAATTATATTGTGTTATTTTATATTTTATTATACTATATTCTATTATATTATATTATATTATATTATATTATTTATTATATTATTATATTGTATATATATATATATTTGAAATTATACATATATATATATATTATATACAATATGGATTTGAATCCAGCACTTTCATCCACTTTCCGTTGTTGGATTTAAATGGTGGCTACCTCAGGAAATGATAGTTGTATGTAGTTGTTGCATCACCAGTAGTTGATCCTGGAACGTTTCCCAAGATAAAGCGTAGATTTCACCGAATTTCACCAGGGATTCTTCAGCAACAAAAAGTGACCCGGTCAGTGGGATGATGTGGGATGCCATTGCGAGCTCATGGGTCGAGGGCTGCAATGGTCACTTTAGTAGTCCCTTCCCCGTGAAACAGCCCCAATCATATGGTCCCAAATGTGCATAAATCGCTTACATTCGCTTACTTTTTACCATGGTTTTTGGGGGCGGTTTACTATTGAATTCCGGAAGGGACGGACTATTGGAGCATCCGAATGTGCTGCCCAAATGTTGACCCATGCACAACTGATAGTGTACACTATGGGGCATGTCCGCCACGTTTGAAAACTGCTCTGTGAATTGCCTCTGCGTCAACATCAGAAACGAAGCTATACAGTGTAAACAACCCAAATTGGGCAAGTCACAGTCAAGCATGAGAAAGAACCAGTATGTGGATTCAAAACCACACTATTTGTAAGAGAAATGAGTTCTTGGACCTAAGGAAATCTATGTCTTGGAATGACCTCCAATTTCAACTCGTCCTCCATTTTTTCCTTTCCCACGAAAACTTGGCTGTGCATCAAAACCCTGCTTTCACAGGAGAGCTGATTGGTAACCAGTATGGATGCTCATCCAACATATGGTATCATGCGTTTTGAGTGTTTTTGACCGTTTGACCCATATCTCTTGTGAATGCAACCATTCAATTTGACCCACCAAATCATTCACCTTCTTCCACCTTTCTGGTCCAAAGCATCCACAGAAATTCGTCCCCCGAATGGGTTTCTCAGGGGGGAAGTGATGATTCTATGACCAGTGGATACCTGATTCGCCAGTGGATGTCAAGTGCCATTTTTCGATGATTCAATATTTTGATTCAAGGATTCACATGATTCACCAGTTCATTTTGGGTAATGTGGTTAAAACAACAACAAACCATACCCCAAATCACCATTTTTAGAGGTGGTATACACCATTCCCAAATGGGTGGTTTAGTATTGTTTTAACATGTTTTAACCACATTTGACATCAGATCATGTTAACGAAGAAAAAACAAAACGACTTCGGGCCGCGGGTCCTTGCCACGGATGGGTCCAGAGTATGCACCCAATTTCTCAGGCAAATCTGCAAAGACGTCCATCTGCTTTTCCATGGAGACACGGCACGTTACGTATGGATACGTAGACATATCATCTGGTTGGTGGTTGACCTACCCCTCTGAAAAATATGAGTCAGTTGGGATGATGACATTCCCAATATATGGAAAAATAAAACATGTTCCAAACCACCAACCAGTCATGGATGTTGATGTACGTTCAATATCGTTCAATCTTGCCTTATGCTGTCCCGGTACATCTACTATCATCTACTGATACCTGATGGTAATCATCTAAGTTGAATTAGAAACTAAGGATATAAAACCCAAGGTGAAAGATAATCCAGGAAACTACGATTCTGGTTTTATATCATGAAAATCCAACTTAGATGATAATCCAATCATAGTTTCTAATCCGGAAACTGATGGTGAAAGATAATCCCGGCTTGGGAGTCCATGGAACACCAGAATCTGGGATATCCAATCTAGAGAAAACAACACACGCTGTCCCTTTGCTGACTGTTAGGAGGTCCTGTGATTAAATCGGAGCCCAAAGATGCACTGTTGGGTGGATCATTACCATGGGGTCAAATTTTTTGGACGTTAAGATTGAATTACACTCTGGTAATGATTAACATAGCTATTGAAAATGGCCACTTATAGTTGATTTCTCTATGACAAAATGTGATTCTCCATAGTTATGTAAACGTTTACCAGAGGCTATTACACTTGACGGTCATTCTATGGATCATCAACATTCAATGTGGATCTTTCCGGTCACATCACGCCACTCTGTCTGGATTAGAAAGTCTTTCAAGCTATTGCCTACCAGTACCTACTAATTCCATGTGGATTTGTCTGGAAACTGATTGTATAACAATCTCAATAACGAAGATGATCAACCAACGGATTTGTGCTTAGGCAAAGCAAATTTCTACAGGCTGGTCTCACACGACAGGTTCACGCGCGTCCCCCTTTTCTGCCACCACATGAGCTGACGCCTCCGACTACTGCTTCACGGTAGCTTGCTGTACTGCGTCCTGGGCGGATTTCTGAAGTCATCTACACGGATTACATCCCTTCCTTCAATGCTTAAGGTGTTGGTCAAATCCCCATATTTTATTTTATATGCAATTCCCATTCCTTCATAGTGTTATAGTGTATAGAGCTTTGCATGTCAGCCCGGGGTAAGACTCCAACAGTTGCAGAATGGAATGAAATGAACATTCCCAATTTAGCCTTGTCAAATCCCACTTTCCGGTCTTGACAGCAGATTTGTTTTTTATTGTAACTCAATTTCTCACAGTATACCTTAGTTCTGCTACTCAAACACACCCGCATTTATCATTGCTGGTTATGTGTCCCCATTTGCTGCTGCTTGACATTATTGAATTCAAACCACACTCGTTTCTGGCAACTTGTGGCACTTTTTGAAATTGCTGAACACTTTTGAACATGACCTGTTTCTCTGTCTGATGCTGGAAATTACCAAATTTTGCCTACTTTATCTTATTTCCCTTCAATGTTCATCACTTGTTGCCGCTTAACAAAAAACTATTGTTCCATGGTTTGAAATCATCATGCGGGTTCTGCAAGTTGGGGTATCCTGGTTCATCCTTGGTTTCCCTGTTGTTTGATGAGCAAATTGGTGGCAAATCCGCAATTTTCAGACACACCCAAGATCATATTATAGTGTTGCATTTATATCCGGATTGTAGCCCCATTACATCCCCATCATATTCTGGTTAAATCTATTCCCCTACCAGTACAGTCTATTGTTGGTTGTATATTCCTCATCTTTGTTGGCTCGAACCCCCCCACTTTCAGGCAAACTCCACAACCATTTGGTGTTATGTTCTCATTATATCATATTATATATATATCCCTGTTACTGCCAATCAAATGTAATAGATTATAACAGTATTATATACATATTATATAAACTTATATTCCCATGCTACCCCCATCATATTCTCATGACATATCCCTACATGGAGGGTTCTTAAAATACGGGATCCACAAGTCACCATAGGTTTCAATACTTAAAATGGTCTAATTCTGGATGATTTGGGGGCATTCCATGACTTAGGAAATCTCCACATTTGGTGGTATCCCTACATTTGGGTCTGAAAATATGGTACCTCTAAATCTGCTGAATTGTATTCTCATGATATTCTCAGATCGAGGTTTCCTGAAATGGGCATACCCCCAAATCATCTATTTAAAAATTTAAAACGATTTTCCAAGTATACCTACATAACCTCAAAAATACATATACTCTGATATTATTTTATTATATTGTATTATATCTTTATATATACATATATATATATATATATCTCTATACATATCCCAAACAAATCCAAAAAAAATATTTTGTTCCCATTCCCATTACCGCCTCGTCACCCGTCCGACGCCGCCCAACGCCGCATCTCCGCGTCGCGGCCGCCGCGGCGGCCGTAGTAGCGCAGCTCGCTGCCGTCGGGGCCTGGGGACGAAAAAAGGGCCCCCGGTGACCACGGGGAGGTTCGAAAATCGTAGGAAAAGCATGGAAAAGCATAGGAAAACCATGGAAATCCATAGGAAAACCCTAGGAAAACCATAGACAAGCATAGGAAAACCATGGAAATCCATCGGAAACCCATGGAAAACCCTAGAAAAACCATGGAAATCCATAGGAAAACCATGGAAAACACCAGGAAAACCATGGAAAACCCTAGGAAAACCATGGAAATCCGTAGGAATTCCATAGGAAACATTGTGTTTTAACCAAGAAAAGTAAGGATTGAATGGGATTGATTTATGGATTTATAGTTGCTTTATGATGTATATTTATGTTGGCAAAGTTGACCCACATAACTTGGTGAACGTGAACGTTTAGGTTTATGGGAGATACAGCGAACTAGTTAGATGGGCTTATCAACCAACTTATAACTGGGGGGGGGGGCCTCACCTTGTAGTTTGTAGGAAGTTAGTTACTGTGGGGGAGTTATGCTATACTAGCTTGGTTATATTGATGTTTATCTTTTGATGTGTGTTTATTGATGTTTCTTGGAATTTCCTTATACTATACCAGTAGTACCGCACAAGGCGGTGGCGGAAGTTTCAAAAATAGGAAACCTATAGGAGAGATTGGTTGTTGTGAATCAGGGATGGCAGAGCGAATCCACTGATGGACCGAAAGGTGCTTGAGGTCTCCTCTCTTTCTCTCTCTTTCTCTGACTATCTACCTACCTATCTATCTTTTATCTATCTATCTATCTATCGATCGATCGATCTATCTATCTATATATCTGTCTATCTGTCGACCTGTCTATCGGTGGTGCAGTGTCATTTAGTGTAATGTAGTGTAGTGTAATGTAGTGTAGTGTAGTGTAGTGTAGTGGAGTGTAGTGGAATGTAGTGTAGTGTAGTGTAGTGTAATGTAAGTGTGGTGTAGTGTAATTTAGTCTAGCGGAGTGTGTGGAGTGTAGTTGTGCATTCGTAGTTGTAGTTGTAGTGGAGTGTAGTGTAGTGTAATGTAGTGTAGTGTAGTGTAGTTCAGTGTAGTGGAGTGTATTGTAGTGGAGTGTAGTTGTGTAGTTGTAGTTGTAGTTGTAGTGTAGTGGAGTGTAGTGTATGTGTAATGTAGTGAAGTGTAGTGGAAGGTAGTGTAGTGTAATGTAGTGTAGTGTAGCGCAGTGTAGTGGAGTGTAGTGTAGTGTAATGTAGTGTAGTGTGATTTAGATTGATTTAGTGTAGTGGAGTGTAGTGGAGTGTAGTTGTGTAGTTGTAGTTGTAGTGTTGGGTAACGTAGTGTAGTGTAGTGCAGTGCAGTGTAGTGGAGCGTAGTGTAGTGTAATGTAGTGTAGTGAAGCGAAGCGACATCTGAACCTCGAAAAGTGGTCCGAAATCCAGTGTTTTTTAACATTTTGACTTCGAAATGTGCTTCACGCCACAACGGCGTGCACTTTTTCGACATCTCAACTTCCAAAAGTGGTCCGGAGCTGGTGTGCTTTGTTCATGTTGACTTCGAAATGTGCTTCGCGCCACAACGGCGTGCAATTTTTCATCTCTCATCTGGCCAGCTGGCTCCGCACCCGCCGCTTTAGCGAGCCTACTTTTCGACCCTCCGGAGCCACAAAACATTGGAAAGACACAGTGTTTCGCGACTTTCCTACCTTTTTCGCGCATCTGCATCTTCTTTCTTCTGACTCTTTCTCTTCTACGCTTCTCTCTTCTAATCTTTCTCTTCTCTCTGACCCTTTCCATCTCTGCTTTTCATCTGTCCATATTGTCGGAAGTTTGACTTCTAAACTTCCTTCGATCAATAAATGGTTTCTATTGTATGGGGATCATGTGTGTTTTGTTAGATATTTTTAAACAGAAATCTGGACTTGAACATATTCGAATCAAGTCAAAATAGAGAATGCATCCAATTTGCTACCTTTTCTTAGACCATGAGAACTGTGGAAAACATCTCATGCGAAGATGGACAATGGCAACAAATTAGAGGGTTTGTCAACCGGGACGATCATCGCCAATTTTGATCAAAAAATCATGGATGCAGCACCCAAAAAAGTACTGTAATTCTTCATGGGAAAATGATAATAAACCCTGGTCATGCATGTCAAGTTTTTTTTGCTGCAAAGTAGTAGAAAACGTGGATTTAACAATGAACATTTGGATGTTTACCTATAAACATTCGGATCTAGCTACCATGAACCTGCTGGATTGATAGATTGGATCAACAGTAGTTTGCCATTCTTGCAAAAAGTGGAACTGCATCAGGGGGTTTTACATTTACCCTCTGGTAAACTAACATAGCTATGGAAAATCACTATTTAAAACAGGTAAATCAACTATAAATTGACCATTTTCTATAGCTATGTTAGTTTACCAGAGGGTAACATCATTTAAGTTAAAGGGATTTATCTGAAAAGGGACCATTCAGAATTGCGAAACATGTTTTGGGTGAGTTGAACTATGGCAAAGAATCAAGCTAAGCCAATGCTAAACCAAGGTTGATCCACTGTTTTTTTCGGAGAAATTACCTGACCCAAGGCGGGATGTCATGACCCATCTGGGGAAAAACAGCAAAGTTCGCGCGGACCAACGCCATGGCGCTGAACAAAAATCTCAAAGTATTGAAATATCAACAAAAAACAAAAATAGAACAGTAATCTACCACTATCTTAGGAGGATGTTTTTTTGAATATCTTGTTGGGGATTGCATACTTGATGGCGGCTATGGCTATGGCTTGTGGAACCCTCCGAACTTGGATACTGACAGATAATGAGAACGTCCATGCCCAGCCCGTTGTTTGGCCCGTCTTAGTACCTGTATCTGTTCCGAAGTAGGACTGGGTCAAACTTGGCGTCCTCAAAAACAAAAAATAGCAGGTTCTAGACTAAAGAAAAATGACATCTTTGAGCCAACGATTCCTTAATTGCACTCTATGCAATATTCAAACCCATCCAACACCAGCAACCAGCCACTTGGAAGCTTATCCGAGTAACCCGTGAACAACGCTGGCCTGTAAGTCTCCTCATCATGGGGCTATCCCATTATTTATTATTTATATATATATATATAATCCTGTTTAGTATATACATATATGATGTGTATGTGTATATATAAATATATATGTATATACACACCATATATCAATAGTTGTCAATATCTACAATGTATATACATGTAGGTTGTAACCATGGCTGCTAGCCAGTATCTGAGTTACTCCATCGGACAGTCCGACAGAAAAAGGGCCCCGCCTAGTAACATGTGTGCAGAGAAGAGTGACAAGCCGCGCCAATGAGCCAATGCCTGCAGCGGTCAGGTTTGCCCATCATCTTACACTAAGGTTCATAGGGTGGTCAATGAGAAATCATATCATTCATATATGATTGTTTTATAAGTGTCAATCATATAATTTAATGTTTTAATGATTATCATCCGACGTTAATTATACAAAACAACAATGTATTTCTATGGTTTAATCATCTTGAAACCCTTATGACAAACCATAGAAACATGATGGTTTAACAATGTGAAACCCATCATAATGTGGTTACTCGTATAAAAATGATGGTTTTATATGGTTTAAACATCTTGAAATGTGTCTATTCTTGGTTTTAACCATGACAACAACACCATAAGTTGGGATATAATAACCACCATAATTAATCATAATTATGGCTATATTCATTTGTTAAATACTGGTTCACAAAAGCCACTGGAGGTTTTATCCTTGTGGAAATCTGTAAGCAAACCATCTGGCATTAGTCCAGGACAATTCAGAGAGGTTGAACTGTTCACGGTGACAGGTGACAGGAAAGCGGAGAGTCCTTTTTCATCCGTTTAAGGCTGGTCTTGGTCTTCCAGCCCATGCTGGCCGAGAGTTGAAAGTGAGCAAGTAAAATGGCAATAACTTTGCATGGGAGATATAATATATATATATATGTATATATATATATATATTGTCAGCAAATTTAGATGAAATACCATCGCGTGTCCCCTAAATTATGGGGTACAGCATATTCTTGTTCAAGTAATGCCTGCGCCTCATGCGCTAGTAGATTCTTCTCCCAACTAGTCCCATGTAATAAGAAGACCATGAATTTGGGATACTTTTTGATTTACCTGAATCAACACTAATCAACCGAATTCTGCACTAATATGTATGCGACGGCTCTCAGGTCTGTCGCAACTTGCTTCCACCGGGACCATGCTGGACCCCCCGGAGATGAACTTCTTGAAATCCAAAGAATTTAGGGATACCCTACAGTTGTGGCCCAATACACACTTATAAATGGGCTGAAAAATAAATGATATTGTTGTAGAAGCTATGATTCCGTTTATATATAACTGTTAGTTGGGCCATAAGTGTATCTTCAGCCAAACTCAAGTAGAACTCTCAACATCGAGAACTGAGACACTGCAGTGGCTGAGTAACGAATCAGTGGCGATTCTTCGGGTAGCATCCTTGATGTCCCTATGATCTTTGATAAATTGGGATGCCTGAGAGTTCATCTTTTATAAATCCGCTGCAGTTCATCCTTTTTTTAGGGCTTGTAACTTTGCTATAACCCAATGTTTGCGCAAGATTTGGTTGGATACCCCAATGTTTTCTGTTCTTTGTGTCTGCAAACGGGAATTCCTGGGTGTTTGTTTCAGGAAAACAATGGGAAAACATGCAGACAACAACAAGGCAGCGCTTATTCCCCAGTTCGTCACTCAGGGGGTGAGCTGGCTCCAGCTCAGAGTTGCCACCCGGGTTTGTCAATAGGGTACCCTTAAATCCTCTGGTTTGACATCTTGTGCCCTATTAAATACCCTTTGATTATTTATAGGTCAATCATCATAAAATCACCTATGAAATTATCTATAAATGGGCAATGTTCCATAGCTATGTTAAATAACCAATAGATATGTATATATATAATATATATATATATTGTATAGAAAAATGTGGTCTACCTTCCAAACGCATCGCCTCTTCCTTCGTTTCGAAGAATTGACCATCTACAGTTCCAAAGTCATGGTGCGTGACGACCGCGTAGCCTGACGCGTAAGATTTGAAAGAGATGCTATGTTATAATTACAAAGAAACATCAAAACATATGATTCTATTATAAGAAGGTGCCTTAAAATTTGAGGGAACACTTTATTTGTATGTTTAGTTTTGTTCTTATGTTTTGTTTGAACATGGTGTGTCTGCATCGTTGTCAATTTATGGTTGGGGTAAAGGAATGAGTTTAAACCAGTTCATTCTTGATTTTTTGAACCTTGCGCCTTTTTGCTTGAATGTTTATTGAAATTTCACAATGGAGAGAATTCATGTGTTTTTATGCGAATAGAATTTAGATTTCAAACATGTTTCATTGTTTCACACAATTGAATATATCCAAAAAGGTTTAGCAAAACACTAGCCTTCTTCGAGTAGTCACATCCTTTCTGGTTTTGTTACCTCACATTATTTGTGACATTTTTCTCCAAACTTTATCTTGCATTCTTACGATCCAGGTCTTCCTCTTCCAAACATGAGTCGAAAACAGAAAAAACAAATCCAGTCAAATTTGATTGGAGTAGTGTGAAAAAGTCATATAAAACCTCCCCCACTTCTGGATCTTGGTCGTGGTGTCATCCTCTGTCTTGCTGCCATAGGGTCTGCCAGATGCCTAGCACCATGACAGTGGAACGCCTTTGAGATTGCAGTGATTCGCAAACACACAGACACACACAGGTGTATATATATATCTATATAATATATAGAATAATAAATTTGGTTATGGGCTGTTGACAAATATGTTCATTGTTAAACAGTTTGTATAGTTATTGTAATTTTATTAATTATTTGTGTTTCTCTCACATCTCTCCCTTAGATGTGTGCAGCTGCTTTTGCAGTCCAGTAGATTTCCGGAAGCGAAACGGATATGAGAACCAATATATTGAAATTATAAAAACCAAGCGAAACCGAACATATCGAGGAACCTCCATGGTTGCTGCGGAAACACTGGCAAATATCTTGATTTTCCCACTAAGCGCAAAGAGATGTTGGCTCTTTGAATTCAAAGACTTGAGCAGAAACGAAAGGAATATGCAGGACATGCACAGAATACAAGGGGACATAAAAGGAAACGAACAGAAAAGGACAGTCGGACAGGAAATGAAAGGAAAACAAGAAAGAAAAGGACACAGTTAAATAAACAAATGCTGAGATCAAAAGAATGTCACAAGATAATGAAAGAAAAACAAGCATATCAAAGGAAACTGAAACTGAAAACAAGAGGACTTGACAGGAAATGAAACGAAAACAAGGGGAAATGAGGGGCAAGGGATGAAGGAAAGGAAGAAGGGACTATAGCTACTTATAACCCCAATCACAAACCAGTCTTGATCCGTGGGGTGAACACTGTTAGATTTGCATAAAGGGGACACCACCCCCAAAAAAACACGGCACCGTTAGATTTTCCAAACAATGGATTAAGATGGATTAACCTAAAAGTCATCTCTGGCAGATGTAAGTGATTTTTCCCTATGATTTCCTTATTGTTGATGGTTGAATCATGTCAAATCCCATTATTTCACCATTAAATTCGATTAAAGATTAGAATCCTCCCCAGGCCGCCCACGCCTCCCGCGTTCGACGCCCCGGAAGACTTCGACGCCGCGGCAGATGGCGCCGATGGCGCCGCTAGATGCGACAGCTGCGACAGGGTCACGGCAGTGAGACCTTTCTGCTTCAAACCTCCAAGGTTTGCTCGATGGGGAAACATGATGGATGACAGCTGGATGAAGCACATATATAGTATTATATGAATGTTTGATCATTTGGGGGGCTCAAATAATGATGGATGGTGTGTGTGTGTGTCAAGCTCTGTACCGAAGAGTTCCTCACTTTTTGCGGCTGATTTCAACCAACTAGTTTTTTTAACTGCTTTCTTCCATAAATTATGGATACCATTGCACCTTAATTCACAGCAGGGGGCACAAGGACCTTTGGTGAGTCTTGTGCCGATGAAGACGCTCACCTTAGGTTGTGAAAACGTACCTGCATGATGCACCTGGATGACATACCCAATATGTTGGGGTCATAGCTGGTGGTCATATTCGTATCTGTTAGTACTTTATGGGATCAGGCTAACCCAAGAACCTGCATGCCGTCATTCAGTCATTTCATGATCACTTTTGATTGAGCCGTATTGGTTTCTCTTTTAAACAACCTGACATTCAAATGTCAACGGATAAGCTTGGCCTTTTTTAACTCGGTATGGCCGAGTGATGCCTTCAATCTACCATGAGGTAATCAGACTTTGCATTCATGAAAAGAGACCGTCTTTCATGACTTCGCAAGTGTGTATTTCGGCCGTGGGATCTGTCAAAGTCCGGTCGTGATCCTGGAATTCCAGGCGTCGTATCTCCCCTGGGGGTGCGAGAATCCACAAGTGAATTTGACTCTTGAATTCAGCCACGGTGGCTCATTGCAATGATTGAACGTGTGTCTCTGACACAAAGCGTGCATTTGAGAGAATAGATCCCGGTATGCTATCCGGCAAAAATAGCTTGAATCCACTGAGTTTGAACTTGAATTTGACTTTTGACAATTTTGGCGACTGATAGTCACCAATAAGATGAATTTTCTGAATTCCACACTTGAAGCCTCAGCATTGAATTCCAAATGGATGAATTGTGTTTGTACACATGAATGCCTTTTGGTGTACAGTTGAGCAAGCAACAATACGTTATCATTTGTTAGTTGTCTAACTGATCAATCCTTGTACAGTTAGCAAGTTGTCATATTAGACAACACATTTTCCATTTTCCTTTCTCTAGATTTCTGAGCCATGTCGACTCCGGTGTATAATGTTTATTTTGTGGCCGGCAACGTGGACCCGACTCCACCTCGGCCACCCAAGGCACCGGCGAAGCCAGCAGTAAGACTGGCATTGACACCACATGCTCCTCCAGCAACTCCGGTAGTAGCCCCAGCCGCAATTCCAGGAACGATCTCCGTACCTCGTCGACCGTCCGCATTCCAACCTCAGGTGCCGGTTAAAACAGATGATGACAAACAGGAAAGACGCACAACATCAAGTTTCTCCAGATCCAGAACAAGACGTCGTCATCGAGCATCCCATCACCGTCACCATCATCGTGATCACCATTCTCTGAGGTCCACTTCGAGATCTGAAAGAGGTAGGTCAGTTAGAACGGCTCTTTCTTCTTTCTCTCAAGCTCTCCGTCCTCCACCAGGTCAATGGCACATTCATACTGGTCTTTGGGACCCGTATGTTGGAAACATTCCTCCCAGAGCGCATGTTCTTCCTCCCAGAGTTCCTGCTCCTCCTCCCTTGAGACCGTTTTCAGCCTTCCCTCTAGTGGAGGTCGACCCACGTGTACAGCGGACTCACTTTTTCACAGCACTTGGTGTTGTATGGCGCCAAATCAGGGGCGCTGGAATAGGAAGTCAGATTTCTCCAACACTTTCGAACTTGGCCGTGATGCTTATCGAGAGACCGTGGAGCAGTACCTATCAAGAAGTTCTGACTCGACCAAAGTTTCATCATCTTGCAATCAGGTACGTCGACAGCCGTTTTGTCATTGTACAGAAGCACCATCTTCAGGCTCCAGTGTTCAAAGTGTTTACAGACTTGGACTTTTATGGTAGTCCAGTCGAACTGGAGCTGGTTGCCGACAATTTTACTTCTCGGCTTTTATGTTGATGTTTCTGAAAGAACAATCATTTCAGCCGGAACCAACCCTCCGATTGCGTTTGAGCGGACTGAAGAGTCGAGCTCATTTAATTCGTGAATATTCATTTCCGTCCTGTCAAGCACAGAGTTCGTTGCACGCACTATCTCGGTTATATGTACAGAAAGGCTTCGCTTTGTCAGATATTCACAGCGCGTTGTGGCCGACAAATACCAGCGGCGATAGGCCTTTGTGTGTAGGGTCAACCCCTGTTTCCAAGGGATTTGCGAATTTTTCTGTTTTTCAGTTTTTCAGTTTTAAGGCAGGGGGTCGACCCACGTGTACAGCGGACTCACTTTTTCACAGCACTTGGTGTTGTATGGCGCCAAATCAGGGGCGCTGCAATAGGAAGTCAGATTTCTCCGACACTTTCGAACTTGGCCGTGACGCTTATCGAGAGATCGTGGAGCAGTACCTATCAAGAAGTTCTGACTCAACCAAATTTTCATCATCTTGCAATCAGGTACGTCGACAGCTTTTTTGTCATTGTACAGAAGCACCATCTTCAAGCTCCAGTGTTCAAAGTGTTTACAGACTTGGACTTTTATGGTAGTCCAGTCGAAATGGAGCTGGTTGCCGACAATTTTACTTCTCGGCTTTTATGTGGATGTTTCTGAAAGAACAATCATTTCAGCCGGAACCCTCCGATTGCGTTTGAGCGGACTGAAGAGTCGAGCTCATTTAATTCGTAAATATTCATTTCCGTCCTGTCAAGCACAGAGTTCGTTGCACGCACTATCTCGGTTTTCCGACAAATACCAGCGGCGATAGACCTTTGTGGGTAGGGTCAACCCCTGTTTCCAAGGGATTTGCGAATTTTTCTGTTTTTCTGTTTTTCAATTTTTCAGTTTTAAGGCAGGGGGTCGACCCACGTGTACAGCGGACTCACTTTTTCACAGCACTTGGTGTTGTATGGCGCCAAATCAGGGGCGCTGGAATAGGAAGTCAGATTTCTCCAACACTTTCGAACTTGGCCGTGACGCTTATCGAGAGACCGTGGAGCAGTACCTATCAAGAAGTTCTGACTCAACCAAATTTTCATCATCTTGCAATCAGGTACGTCGACAGCCGTTTTGTCATTGTACAGAAGCACCATCTTCAGGCTCCAGTGTTCAAAGTGTTTACAGACTTGGACTTTTATGGTAGTCCAGTCGAACTGGAGCTGGTTGCCGACAATTTTACTTCTCGGCTTTTATGTTGATGTTTCTGAAAGAACAATCATTTCAGCCGGAACCCTCCGATTGCGTTTGAGCGGACTGAAGAGTCGAGCTCATTTAATTCGTGAATATTCATTTCCGTCCTGTCAAGCACAGAGTTCGTTGCACGCACTATCTCGGTTATATGTACAGAAAGGCTTCGCTTTGTCAGATATTCACAGCGCGTTGTGGCCGACAAATACCAGCGGCGATAGGCCTTTGTGTGTAGGGTCAACCCCTGTTTCCAAGGGATTTGCGATTTTTCTGTTTTTCAGCTTTTCAATTTTTCAGTTTTAAGGCAGGGGGTCGACCCACGTGTACAGCGGACTCACTTTTTCACAGCACTTGGTGTTGTATGGCGCCAAATCAGGGGCGCTGCAATAGGAAGTCAGATTTCTCCGACACTTTCGAACTTGGCCGTGACGCTTATCGAGAGATCGTGGAGCAGTACCTATCAAGAAGTTCTGACTCAACCAAATTTTCATCATCTTGCAATCAGGTACGTCGACAGCTTTATTGTCATTGTACAGAAGCACCATCTTCAAGCTCCAGTGTTCAAAGTGTTTACAGACTTGGACTTTTATGGTAGTCCAGTCGAAATGGAGCTGGTTGCCGACAATTTTACTTCTCGGCTTTTATGTGGATGTTTCTGAAAGAACAATCATGTCAGCCGGAACCCTCCGATTGCGTTTGAGCGGACTGAAGAGTCGAGCTCATTTAATTCGCAAATATTCATTTCCGTCCTGTCAAGCACAGAGTTCGTTGCACGCACTATCTCGGTTTTCCGACAAATACCAGCGGCGATAGACCTTTGTGGGTAGGGTCAACCCCTGTTTCCAAGGGATTTGCGAATTTTTCTGTTTTTCTGTTTTCAATTTTTCAGTTTTAAAGCAGGGGGTCGACCCACGTGTACAGCGGACTCACTTTTTCACAGCACTTGGTGTTGTATGGCGCCAAATCAGGGGCGCTGGAATAGGAAGTCAGATTTCTCCAACACTTTCGAACTTGGCCGTGACGCTTATCGAGAGATCGTGGAGCAGTACCTATCAAGAAGTTCTGACCCAACCAAATTTTCATCATCTTGCAATCAGGTACGTCGACAGCCGTTTTGTCATTGTACAGAAACACCATCTTCAGGCTCCAGTGTTCCAAGTGTTTACAGACTTGGACTTTTATGGTAGTCCAGTCGAACTGGAGCTGGTTGCCGACAATTTTACTTCTCGGCTTTTATGTGGATGTTTCTGAAAAAACAATCATTTCAGCCGGAACCCTCCGATTGCGTTTGAGCGGACTGAAGAGTCGAGCTCATTTAATTCGTAAATATTCATTTCCGTCATGTCAAGCACAGAGTTCGTTGCACGCACTATCTCGGTTATATGTACAGAAAGGCTTCGCTTCGTCAGATATTCACAGTGCGTTGTGGCCGACAAATACCAGCGGCGATAGGCTTTTGTGTGTAGGGTCAACCCCTGTTTCCAAGGGGTTTGCGAATTTTCTGTTTTTCAGTTTTTCAATTTTTCAGTTTTAAGGCAGGGGGTCGACCCACGTGTACAGCGGACTCACTTTTTCACAGCACTTGGTGTTGTATGGCGCCAAATCAGGGGCGCTGGAATAGGAAGTCAGATTTCTCCAACACTTTCGAACTTGGCCGTGACGCTTATCGAGAGACCGTGGAGCAGTACCTATCAAGAAGTCCTGACTCAACCAAATTTTCATCATCTTGCAATCAGGTACGTCGACAGCCGTTTTGTCATTGTACAGAAGCACCATCTTCATGCTCCAGTGTTCAAAGTGTTTACAGACTTGGACTTTTATGGTAGTCCAGTCGAACTGGAGCTGGTTGCCGACAATTTTACTTCTCGGCTTTTATGTTGATGTTTCTGAAAGAACAATCATTTCAGCCGGAACCCTCCGATTGCGTTTGAGCGGACTGAAGAGTCGAGCTCATTTAATTCGTAAATATTCATTTCCGTCATGTCAAGCACAGAGTTCGTTGCACGCACTATCTCGGTTATATGTACAGAAAGGCTTCTGTTCACAAGATATGTGGACAACAGATTCATTTTGTTTGACCACCGTTTTCGCTCCGCACTGCCCATGCGAGTGCTTTCCGATTGTTTCTTTTATCAAGCGCCGGTGGAGTTGGAAACCGTCCAAGATGGTACACTCCTTGGGTTCACCATTGACGTAGTGCAACGAACCGTAAGGTACCAAGTACCTCCACTATGGGAAATTCGTCATCTCCATTCTGCTGGCAGCATGCGTCTCCGCTTGTCCGGACTAAAGTCCCGTGCAACCTTAATTCGCAGATACACGTTTCCCAAAGAATTTGTCCGTGATGATCTCAACCAACTCATTCAGCTGTATGTACAGAAAGGGTTCTCCAAAACAGACTGCCAACGCGTCCTGTACAGAAGGCATCTCAAGCATACCTAACCTTTTGGCTGTGGCAAAAAAATATTTATTGACACGCTGATGAGGTTGCAAATGTTCCTCTGCGGTTTTTTTCACAAATCTCTTGATGATGTCTTCCATTCTCGCCTTTAAAGGAATACAAGCCCGGCTACGTGCCTTTTTGTGTGTGTCAAGCTCTGTACCGAAGAGCTCCTCACTTTTTGCGGCTGATTTCAACCAACTAGTTTTTAACTGCTTTCTTCCATAAATTATGGATACCGTTGCACCTTAATTCATAGCAGGGGGCACAAGGACCTTTGGTGAGTCTTGTGCCAATGAAGGCACTCACCTCAGGTTGTGAAAACGTACCTGCATGATGCACCTGGATGACATACCCAATATGTTGGGGTCATAGCTGGTGGTCATATTCGTATCTGTTAGTACTTTATGGGATCAGGCTAACCCAAGAACCTGCATGCCGTCATTCAGTCATTTCATGATCACTTTTGATTGAGCCGTATTGGTTTCTCTTTTAAACAACCTGGGTAACCTGACATTCAAATGTCAACGGATAAGCTTGGCCTCTTTTAACTCGGTATGGCCGAGTGATGCCTTCAATCTACCATGAGGTAATCAGACTTTGCATTCATGAAAAGAGACCGTCTTTCATGACTTCGCAAGTGTGTGGGTATGTATTTGTATATGTTTGTAAGTAGAAATAAATACTACTTAGACTTATACAGTAGATATTATCTAGACCAAAAAATGACAGCCATATTTGTTCCCCATGTGCCAGGTGATAGTCTCTCTAGACTCTAGACTTTGCGAGCTCCTCATGGTTCCTCCTCCTTCTCATCGCCTTCTCCTCCTCCTCAGACTCGCAGACTCTCTGTGACTCGCCGGAGCCGAACATTGCCAGATGCAATGTCACAATATGTCAAATGGATTCAAATGGAATGTCAGAATATGTGTCAGATAAAATCATAGATAGAATATGATAGAATGCCAAATAAAATGCCAGATAAAACGCCAGAACACATGTCAGACAAAGTGTCAGAATGTATGGCAGATAGATTATCAGAGTACAGTAAATGTCGGAAATGTCAGATAAAATGTCAGAATATATGTCAGTTGGCGGGGATCACTCGATGTAAAGTAGTTTGCAATAAACAGAATGGATTGGAATCCATTTTAGCCGGCAACGTGCAAAAGCGCTTTACCAAACTTGATAGTCGTTTGATGGAACAGTTGTTCGGAACCAACTCTTTGGCATGATTTCCAATAGATGGATGGTTCGTCTTCAAATTCTGTTTCCAGCTGTCCATGCAAACAACAAATAAGCACTTGATAGGGGTTCACCCACCAAGACATGTGATTTAAGCTGCAAAATTGAGGTCGACACATGCGCTTTGTTCTCAGGAATGGTGATTTAAGCTGCAACTCCCAAAAAGATGCTGAAAGTTGTGTTTCGAAAAGGATGGGACTTCGATGGTTGGTGTTCCCTATACTTTGTTGGTTTTCCAACTGTTCTGCATCTTTTGGGGGTTATATATGGTTATATACTATTCACATGGAATATATGGAACTACAAATAGCTGTCCAGCTGCCCAGTTCTGGTGATGCCCACCCGTTTGGTAGCTAAGTTGGTGTATAAGCCCATTAACTAGTTCGATATATCTACCAGAAGTCCAACAGTGAAATTGGAGTTATGTGGCCCCCAACTTGGCTATCAATAGGGGAAACCACCTCGCAGGGATTTGTGGTCACCCAAACTGGGACCAATACTATGTAAATCTATTTAATACAACCAACAAGAATTGTGGGATGAACAGCAATCAAACGTGATCGTATCATGTGTCTGCTAACCCAACATGTTTGTAGAAATCCGAAGTGGGCATCCGAGTCAATATGTATATTCTAGGCCAATGCTACAGTGGTTGATTCATGACGCCTGCGTGCTGGTCAAATTATTCCTCTGATGTGGTGGTCTTGACACCACTAAGTCAGTAGCAACTGGGAGTTCCCCATGATGTTTTTGTCCCGATGATCAAGAGAATTCAGACCCTCAAAAACTTATTCTGGTCCTGAAAAAAATCACCCAATTTGGAGCAGTTCCACCAGAATTCAGGTGCAAATTCCCCGGCGCCTATGAGCAAGAGTTCCAGGGCCTCAGATGTCTTGATGGAAACCGCTGTTCTTACCATTACAGTAGGGAAGTCCTTTACATGTTCCCATCATCCAAATGTGGTAGTACTGTCTATAGGCCACAAAGAAACTTGGGGATGAAATTGAAGCCAAATTGAACTTCTCGGGGTGGGGTCAGGAAGGATTTCAGTGGTTCCCACGCTCTTATCGGGATTGTTTTGAAGGTATTGAAAACCAAGTTCTGTCGAAGGCTTCCAATAACCCACTATCAGTTATCAGGAACACGAATTCACATGTTTTCAGTACATGATGAGGACCGCCCTTGAGTGAATTGGAGTGACCATGTCGAAAGGTCTAATGGAGGTGTTCACTGTTCCAAAAAAATGCAGCCTGGCATTATGCTTTGGTACCCTATGGTATGCTATGGTACGCTATGGTATGCTCATGTTTTTACCTCAAGAGTGACGACGTCATCGAGAGTGCCCTCTCTTGAAAACCAATCAACCATGGCGATTAACTCACTGTCTATGTTGGAAAATAAAACCCATCTAAAAGTCAAGATAAATTGTCTTGTTGTCCCCCAAAATTTCAGGCATCATTTGCGCTGTCTGGTCAGCCCATGGCATCCCTATAGATCTTCTTGATCCAAACCTGGCGAATGACAAATTCTTAGTAAGAATACCAGGGTACTTCTGTTGGTTTCTTGCCCTTGCCAGGTCAGATTACAGTACTCCTCATCATCATCATCATCACCATCATCATCATCAAATCTTGTCTCACACGTCGGTTCGTTGAGACTCCCCAACTTTGTAAAGAAAAACAACCGTGATCTTTTCTCGACATTCTGCAGGCAGAGCGACTTTCAAAATATGCTCTCGGAAGCCTTCGTGCCGTGCACGGCAAAAACAAATGAGGTTCTGAAGCATGGGATGGCTTGGGGCACCCATCCGCTTCAGGATATAATATGATATAATAACATATAATAACCCCAACTCAAATAGAACATCAAATTACCCACTATTTTCGTAGAATTATACTGTTCAACTCTGTTGGATCTCTGCGGGAGTTGTTGCTAGTCGCTACTCGTTGCATGGCCATGTCAGAAGCCACTTTGGAATAGGGGATTCAACCCATCCTACACCCTCTGGTAATGACTAACATAGCTATTGAAAATGGCCATAGAAATAGTGGATTTACCCATTGAAACTAGTGATTTTCATTGATTTTCCATAATTTTTTGCATGTTTACCAGAGGGTAATCATCCCAACTGAGATTGAACAAGTGTTTGAAACCACTGGCCAGTCTTCACTTGAGCAGCGTCAAAACTCATCCAACATCCTCCAACCATCAATCATCAACGTCCTACATGTTTAGTCATTCTTTTGGTGAACCCCCCAACATATCCACATTAACTGGTAATAAAAACTAAGCAACGCCATGGTTTTAAGAGTAGTCATCATGGATTCGCGTCCGGACCTCAAAATGAAATGACCAAATCAAATATATGTTTAATCAAAAATGCCCGTGGATTATTATATGTTCCCGTTATCCGCATTATTCCCATTATATATACATACATACATACCATAACATAACATAACATAACATTACATTACATTACACTACATCACACTACACTACACTACATTACATTGCATTTCATACATACATAACACAACACAATACGCAATATACAATATACAATATACGATCCACGATACACGATACACAATATACAACAAAACATACATATTCCCACTACACGCCCCCATCAATATGCCATCAATGTCAGCTATCTTCCCAGGATAATCCCTAATTATACCAGCATTTTGCTTGGTTAAATTCCAATGTGTTTTTGTCAAATCCCATGTTTTTTTCTTGGTTATATAAATCACCATAAAACACCACAAAGACCACCATAAAACCACCATAAAATAAAACCACCACAAAGACCACCATAAAACCACCACAAAGACCACCATAAAACCACCACAAAGACCACCACAAAGACCACCATAAAACCACCATAAAACCACCATAAAACCACCATGAAACCACCACAAAGACCACCATAAAACCACCATAAAACCACCATGAAACCACCATGAAACCACCATAAAACCACCATAAAGCCACCATGAAACCACCACAAAGACCACCATAAAACCACCATAAAACCAACATAAAACAACCATGAAACCACCATGAAACCACCATAAAACAACCATGAAACCACCATAAAACCACCATGAAACCACCACAAAGACCACCATAAAACCACCATAAAACCACCACAAAGACCACCATAAAACCACCACGAAACCACCACAAAGACCACCGTAAAACCACCATAAAACCCACCATAAAACCACCATAAAACCACCATGAAACCACCATGAAACCACCATAAAACCACCATAAAGACCACCATGAAACCACCACAAAGACCACCATAAAACCACCATAAAACCACCATAAAACCGTCATAAAACCACCATAAAACCACTATAAAAACCACCATAAAACCAGCATAAAACAACCATGAAACCACCATAAAAACCACCACAAAGACCACCATGAAACCACCATAAAACCACCATGAAACCACCATGAAACCACCATAAAACCGTCATAAAACCACCATAAAACCACCATGAAACCACCATGAAACCACCATAAAAACAACCATGAAACCACCACAAAGACCACCATAAAACCACCATGAAACCACCATAAAACCACCATAAAACCACCATAAAACCACCATGAAACCACCACAAAGACCACCATAAAAACAACCATGAAACCACCATAAAACCACCATAAAACCACCATGAAACCACCATGAAACCACCATAAAACCACAATAAAACCACCATAAAACCACCATGAAACCACCATGAAACCACCATAAAAACAACCATGAAACCACCACAAAGACCACCATAAAACCACCATGAAACCACCATAAAACCACCATGAAACCACCATGAAACCACCATAAAACCACCATAAAACCACCATAAAACCACCATGAAACCACCACAAAGACTACCATAAAACCACCATAAAACCAGCATAAAACAACCATGAAACCACCATAAAACCACCACAAAGACCACCATGAAACCACCATAAAACCACCATGAAACCACCATGAAACCACCATAAAACCGTCATAAAACCACCATAAAACCACCATGAAACCACCACAAAGACTACCATAAAACCACCATAAAACCAGCATAAAACCACCATGAAACCACCATAAAACCACCACAAAGACCACCATGAAACCACCATAAAACCACCATGAAACCACCACAAAGACCACCATAAAACCGTCATAAAACCACCATAAAGACCACCATGAAACCACCATAAAACCACCATGAAACCACCATAACTCACCTGTTTCATGTTGGATTTCCATGGATCCCTGCGCACCTCGCTCGGGCATGTGGAGGATGAGCACCGAGCCGCCACGGACTTGCTGTAGCATAGTGCCGGCCACCCAATCTGCATCCTGGACGGCGACGCGGAGACTCCGGAGATGGGATTTCTAAAGGGAACAAAAGTACAGCAAACATCAGCAAACTATACATATATATATATATATATAGTGACTATATAGTGACTATACATATATGTTTTTTTGTTTACATGTTTTTGCATGTTATTTACTAATATATATAATATACGTTACCATCCAACAAAGAAACATGGCTATGCTTACCAACTTAGAGTTATGCTTACCAACTGTTTTTTCTGTTTTGGATATGTTTTGGATCTGTTTTGCATATCAAACAAGAAAAGAGAGGCTTCCGCGGAACCATTCACACCATTTCAAGGGATATGTCTACCAAAAGTCCTAGTTCCTGTAGTTATGTTATGATTCCCAACTTTGCTATTTACAGGAAACGATTTCATATAGAGTTGTTGCCATGTTCTTCTTTTGTTTTATTCAGATTTTCCCAAAAAGAGCGATTCCATGGTGATTCGGTCACGTTTGAAACACTATGATTTAAGCCTCATCAACATGGGGCATGGGGTATTGTAACGGGAATATTCATGGGAATATTCATGATGTGAATCAATGGGAACATGATAAGGGTTCAACAATCAAACATGGTGCTTGAATCACCAAGAAATTTCTGACCCATGACAGTTGAAGACTTCACCTATGGGAGAACTGTGTTTTCGCTTGTACTTTGCCTCAAAACCTTTCCAGGTTTCCAAGTCTTCCTCGGCGAATCCAGCGAATCGAATCCAGCCTATCCCCAGCCCCAAACATTCGACCGTTGGTTTCCCCAATAACCAGCAATCAGCATAGGATTCGAACTCTCTGCATCATTGCGACAGGTGAAAACCCTCAGTCGCTGTGGTCTCATTGATATCATACAAGTACCAATCCTCGGGTCCAATCAACAAAAATATATAATATAATCCATCACAAACAAACATGAGTAAAAATCACGTGTTCATATTATCACCTCACATTTTGATACGTTTAAAGTAAGATACTCTCTGGCAATCGAACATCGCAATTGAACATTGGCCAGAAACAGTAACCGATGTGTTTCACGCAGCGAACCAAGCCACCTTTTCCTTTTTCCGGCCTCGATGGCCCAATCATCGCAATAGCAATCCCCCAGTGCATGTTGCATGCCATATTTCGACACCACTCCATGCATGCTACCAGAGAACCTCAGCACGAAGAAAACATGGCTTGATGTTTCCAGGAAAAGAAGGGAATATAAACTACCTGGGGGATTCACACAGTTTTATGCTGCACAAAGTTTCATGCTGCACTAAACGACCAACAGAAAATAGGGGTCAAACTTATGTTTGAGCATCAACGCTGTGGACATCATTCAGAACACACCGAAAAACATTAGATTAAATCTTGGATACCGCGAATGAAACGACTGGCAAACGACTGGCGGTTGGGTATATCACTACCATTGTCGGATCATGGGAAAATGGTCCATTGCCATGTTTGGAATCAGTATACTGACTCAAGATGATGGCACAAGCATGCACAAGTCCTTGATTGGGATGGCTAGCCTGAGGCAACCCTAGTAAAAGAAACTTTGGACATAGAGAGTTCCTCCATCTACACGGAAATTGACCCCATTGCCCATTGCCCTACCATTCACAGGATTTGCTGTTAGTTAAATCACCGCACCAGCATTTCAGTGATTTCAGACCTATGGAAAAGGCATGTGTCCTGTGCAACGACGCCGATTCCCAATACTTCCAGAATAACAACATCTCTCTTCTTACGTATGGACACGGTTTTTGGCACCTCTGAAGGTGCCGGTAAATATGTATGTATATATATATAATATATATATATATATACATAGATCCTCCAAATATCCAAAAAATTGTCTTTTACCCCAGGATTTTACAATCTTTGAGCATTTTTTGGGGTGTATTTGGAGGGTCTAGGTATCTTGGAAGTCACATATCCCATCCACTGAGTGGCGCACTTCCCTTGCGGCGCTCGAAACCAGCGCGGCGCTGCGCCACTGAGCTCCTTGCGACGAGTCCGACGAGTCGGACGAGCCAAGTGTTGTTCTAGATACAAACTCATATTATGATTATGGTATATGAAATGTATATGATGTGAAACTTGCTGAAACACATATATTAAACTTACTTTCTTCGAATGATCCCCACAAACTGATTTTCTATCTGACACATATTCTGACATTATATTTGGCATTCTTTGTGGCATTCTATCTGACATCTGGCGCTCGGGCACGTAGTCCTGTGGCGCCCAAAAAGTGGACTCCTTTGAGGATGAAGAGTGCCCACTGAGATCTGGAGCTCGCGGTTGAGGAGGTCGAGAAGGCGGAGGAGGAGGAGGAGGAGGAGGAGGCGGGCGGCATACAGCTCTGATAAAATCTAGAGACCCTCACCTGGCAGGTGGGGAACAACTTTCATTATTGCTTTTTCAGATATAGAAAAGGACCAGTAAAGTGAACACCAGCCAGAAGGGCGGGGACAGGAAAGCACGAAAGAAACTCACCAAATAGACAGATCAGACTCAAAGGTCGCATCGCCAAGTAGCCAGCAGGATTTCCCCCAAACAATGCCTGAAACCTAAAGTAGACAGAAATAGTACAAATGAATACATTAATCCAATAAGCATCAATAAACAAATAAGATTAAATAAGTACATAGAAAAACACAAAAATAATAAATAGATTACATGACCATAAAACAAAGCTAGATGAGTTTGTAATTATAATATATTTAATATATATATATATATTATATATACATATATATTATATATATATATTAATTATATATATACACATATGTTATCAGGAAGCCAGCATTAAGTGCTGGTGGCTGGTGTCTTCATCATTCTTCATCTGCCAGTATCAAGGCTCAACAAACAACGACGATGGATTCTGAGTGATAACGAATATTACAAATTGACATAGATATGACACAACACCACTGATTAGATCCTTTCCTGCCAGATCGTCTGGAATTCTATGGGTTTTCTTTGCATATTCCATATCTATCCATTTCTATATTAGTCTACCCCATGGTATCTCTCGCCATTTGTGTTGCTTCGAACCCATGGTATGTGTGTTGCTGAAGAAGCTCCAAAGACCTATCATGGCATGGATGAAAGATCCACTTTCCAAGTCAACAACTTGCAAATCTCAACTATCAGGTACATTCATCACCTTGCACAAAAGGTGTGAACATATATATATATATATATATATACATATGTGAAAATAAAGAGCTAACACATGGCAAAACATGGTAACATGACCAATCTTCCCCCATGATGGCTATGAATCATCTAAACAAAACACCTGGATCTGCTGGTTCTGTCGCGCCCAAGGCCTGGATCTTCTTGGAGGTTTTCAAAAGCTCCTGCCTGAGCCAAACTTGATCTATGAGAAAAAACATGGAAACCTGGGGTAGCCAAAAACTGGACGGTATTGCTGATGGGATGAATTTGGATGCACGTAAACATACGTAAACATCATGGTTTACTGATCTTTCATGGACGTAATTCGTACCGTTCACATACCGTTTATGGTGATGTTTTTGAAATTTCTTTCTTCAAGTGATGCATGTTGTGGGAAAATGAACAGACGTATTACCATATGACATCGGTTCTACCGACAAGAATGGCTGTGACAATACTAATCTGAATGAAAATGGTACCATCTGGTTATTTAACATAGCCATGGAAAATCCCTTATAAATGGAGATGTTAATATGAAAATCAATGGTGAGTTTTGAGAATAACATGAATACACAATAAGTGCGGTAGTAATAGTTCAGATGCTGGCTCTACTGGCTCTATCTTTGGTCCGCAGCCATTTTTTTCCATAGCCATTTTCCCACCGCCGTTTATCTTTATTTATCCTTAGCCCTTTATCCATAGCCTGGGATGGGCGATCTAGGGTCTTGGTGGTGACAGCTCTGCAGTTTAGTGATAAATAAAGAAGGTGCGGAAGGTCAATCAATACCTAAGCATGGAGACGAGCCTTGGATTCTTACGGCATTAGTGAGCCTTGAATTATTGCGTGAATGGCTTAGCCATTTGGCTGACTCTCCCTGCAACCATTGACTTGATAGTCACTGTTTGCAATTTTGGGGTCCAAAAGTACAAGCAAATGCAGCCAAGGATTGATTTTTTAGCGTGTACCTGAGCTGAGTTTTGAGAATAACATGAATACACAATAAGTGCGGTAGTAATTGTTCAGATGCTGGCTCTACTGGATCTATCTTTGGTCCGCAGCCATTTTTTTCCATAGCCATTTTCCCACCGCCGTTTATCTTTATTTATCCTTAGCCCTTTATCCATAGCCTGGGATGGGCGATCCAGGGTCTTGGTGGTGACAGCTCTGCAGTTTAGTGATAAATAAAGAAGGTGCGGAAGGTCAATCAATACCTAAGCATGGAGACGAGCCTTGGATTCTTACGGCATTAGTGAGCCTTGAATTATTGCGTGAATGGCTTAGCCATTTGGCTGACTCTCCCTGCAACCATTGACTTGATAGTCACTGTTTGCAATTTTGGGGTCCAAAAGTACAAGCAAATGCAGCCAAGGATTGATTTTTTAGCGTGTGCCTGAGCTGAGTTTTGAGAATAACATGAATACACAATAAGTGCGGTAGTAATAGTTCAGATGCTGGCTCTACTGGCTCTATCTTTGGTCCGCAGCCATTTTTTTCCATAGCCATTTTCCCACCGCCGTTTATCTTTATTTATCCTTAGCCCTTTATCCATAGCCTGGGATGGGCGATCCAGGGTCTTGGTGGTGACAGCTCTGCAGTTTAGTGATAAATAAAGAAGGTGCGGAAGGTCAATCAATACCTAAGCATGGAGACGAGCCTTGGATTCTTACGGCATTAGTGAGCCTTGAATTATTGCGTGAATGCCTTAGCCTATATAGTACTATCGAGAATAAGCATTTGATCAAAGATGACAAGCGCTACCTCTGGTGCTTGCACCCTCATGGCCTGCTGACAGATGGATGGCATGCCATTGTAGTCCCTCGGTAGATTTATGCTCCTTTAAAAACGGGTACGTTTAGTTGTTTGGAAAGGAAGCACGTATGTGGGCATGGCTTTATCAAAAGATGGCAGATTTTGTGTTGCGAACTACTTTCCCGGAGGCACGTAGGGAATAGTTGACAGGATGGGCGGTTGCTGTCCAGTAAATTGCCATAATTGAATTACCATAGATATGGCAAACACTTCTGTGCCTTTTTTTGATACATAAGCAGATTTCTTCAATTGTCGGAGGAATATCATGGCCACTGCACTCTATTTCTCCCTCAATGTGGAGGGACAACTGCTTGGAGGATTTCCAGGTGGCATTATGCCCATTATGTGAATCGTATTTGAATGTTTCAGATGCTGGCTCTACTGGCTCTATCTTTGGTCCGCAGCCATTTGTTCCATAGCCATTTTCCCATCGCCGTTTATCTTTATTTTATCCTTAGCCCTTTATCCATAGCCTGGGATGGGCAATCCAGCAATCCAGGGTCTAGGTGGTGACAGCTCTGCAGTTTAGGGATAGATAAAGAATGTGCGGAATGTCAATCAATACCTAAGCATGGAGACGAGCCTTGGATTCTTACGGCATTTTTGAGCCTCGAATTATTGCGTGAATGGCTTGGCCATTTGGCTGACTCTCCCTGCAACCATTGACTAGATAGTCGCTGTTTGCAATTTTGGGGTCCAAGAGTACCAGCAAATGCAGCCATGAGTTTTGAAAATTACATGAATATGCAATAAGTGCGGTAGAAATGGTTCAGATGCTGGCTCTACTGGCTCTATCTTTGGTCCGCAGCCATTTTTTCCATAGCCAGTTTCCCATCGCCGTTTATCTTTATTTATCCTTAGCCCGTTATCCGTAGCCTGGGATGGGCAATCCAGGGTCTTGGTGGTGACAGCTCTGCAGTTTAGTGATAGATAAAGAATGTGCGGAAGGTCAACCAATACCTAAGCATGGAAACGAGCCTTGGATTATTACGGCATTATTGAGCCTTGAATCATTGCGTGAATGACTTGGACATTTGGCTGACTCTCCCTGCAACCATTGACTTGATAGTCGCTGATTGCAATACTGGGGTCCAAGAGTACCAGCAAACGCAGCCAAGGATCGTTTCTTAAGCGTGTACCCTGGCTGAGTTTTGAGAATAACATGATTATACAATAAATGCGATAGGAAAGATTCCGATGCTGGCTCTACTGGCTCTATCTTTGGTCCGCAGCCATTTTTCCCACGGCCATTTTCCATTGACGTTTATCTTTATTTATCCTTAGCCCTTTACCCGTAGCCGGGGATGGGCAATCCAGAGTCTTGGTGGCGACAGCTCTGCAGTTTAGTGCTAGATAAAGAATGTGCGGAATGTCAATCAATACCTAAGCATGGAGACGAGCCTTGGATTCTTACAGCATTATTGAGCCTTGAATTGTTTCTTGAATGGCTTGGCCATTTGGCTGACTCTCCCAGCAACCATTGACTTGATAGTCACTGATTGCAATAGTGGGGTTCAAGAGTACCAGCAAACGAAGCCAAGGATCGATTATTAGCGTGTACCCGAGCTGAGTTTTGAGAATAACATGAGTATACAATAAGTGCGGTAGAAATGGTTCAGATGCTGGCTCTACTGGCTCTATCTTAGGTCTGCAGCCAGGTATTCCATAGCCATTTGTCCATAGCCGTTTATCTTTATTTATCCTTAGACCTTTATCCGTAGCTTGGGATGGACAAACCAGAGTCTTGGTGGTGACAGCGCTGCAGTTTAGTGCTAAATAAAGAATGTGCGGAATGTCAAAACCATTACCTATGCATGGAGACGAGCCTTGAATTCTTACGGCATTATCGAGCCTTGAATTAGTCCTTGAATGGCTTGGCCACTTGGCTAACTCTCCCTGCAACCATTGACTTGATAGTCACTGTTTGCAATATTGGGGTCCAAGGGTACCAGCTAATGCAGCCAAGGATCGACTATGCAATAAGTGCGATAGGAATGGGTCAGATGCTCTACTGGCTCTACTGACTCTATCTTTGGGGGCATTAGGTAAGAAATGTGCTGCAGGTGTAGACCACAGTCCATGCAGCCGCCAGGAGCCAGGTTATTGGGTAACTTGGTAGTGATCGCTCTGCAGTTTGACATTAGACAAGGAATGTGCAGCAGATTTAGACCACGTCCATGCAGGTGGTGTGAGACAAGTGATTCAGTGTTAATAAGGAATGTGCAGCATATTTAAACCACGATCCATGCAAGTGGCATGGGGGGTTATCCAGTGTCTTGGTGATGATAGGATCGAAATCCCATGCATTTATCGTGGATTGGGTCATTCAGTGCCGTGGTGACGATAGCCCTGCAACTCAGCGGTGTGTAGGTGCAGCATGTTCAGGCCACTTCCTATGCAGGTGTGGCAAGTTGGCTTATTTCAGTATCTTGGTGGTGACTGCTCTGCAGGTTAGCATTAGATAAGGAATGTGCAGCATACTTGAATCGGAGGGAAGCTTGGGGTTTTGGCGGTGACAACTCTCTAGCTCATCATTACATCAGGAATGTGTAGTAGGTTTAGCCCTTCCCAGGGATGTGTGGTGACATTGTTGTCGACAGCTCGTAGCCTGCAATTTGAGATAGTCTTAGCATTAATATTGTGAACTTGGAGCATTCTGTGCCTTGGTAATTTGAACCTTTGACAAGGAACATGCTAGTGATTTAGGTCTCTCTCGTTTATTGTGGTACAGCACAAAGATCGTTACGCCTCGCTTTGTTGTAGCTTTAGGTGCGGTGATTGTTTTGTTGTTGTTTTATGGCTATGCTTGACAGGTGAGCGTAGCTGTTGTTGGTTGGTTCGGGTACATAGTGCGTCATAGGAATCATGCAGGCAATACGAAGTAGACTTGATCTTACCAGTTGTCCTTCAGCTGATGGCGTAAAAGTTTCTTGCGGCCAGTGGGGTTGTATCCATTTTTTTTTTTTTGTTCCTTGCCTCCCCTCTTCGAGTGAGACATTTCTGCTGCCTTTGCTTTCGTAAGTTTGTTCTTGCCGACTGTGCTGGATTTTTGACATGCCTACAGCTTTTCCTTTCAAGGAAGCCAGGTACAAACCCCAGGCATGAACACGCCTACTCGAACTAACCGTGTTTTTGCAGGATGCCTGGATGTGTTGGAGGATGGGCTAGATTTAAGCCGGCACAAATGTGCCATTTTGGCTTCACCGAGCCCACGCCATGTACCGGTGGCCTCAAGGGTTGAGTATTTGCGAGTACCAGGAGTGAGAGGGTCATGCTCTAGAAGCCGTAGCCCAGTGTCTCGAGATTCAGGCAGCGTGGGCTTCACCATTGAGCAACTTGAGAACACTGTTGCCAAGGTTGTAAGGTTGGAGCTATC